CACGAACCCATACAGACACGTTCGAGTTGATAGCAGTTATGAAAAACAACAACAACAACAATTGCCTTTGTCTATTGTCGTTCCGTTATTGTCTCTAGTCATTGTCTGATATTTAGCAATATTTTTTACATAGTTCCATTTTCATTTCCATTTCCATGTTGTGCTCTGCTCGTGCCTATGCCCCTTTCTAATCGGCTCGTCAGCCTATCTAGCCATTTATTTAATTTCATCATCAAGCCAGAACAGCACTACCCCATCTGTGTTCGCCCAGTGCCACAATCGTGGCGCATAAAAACAGTCCAATCAACCAACAAACTATACATATGTACATATATATGTTCATTCATATATACATACGAGTACATATGTACATATGTATAGACAAACGTGTGTAAATATTCGTTTATCATTTGAGAATATCGCCATATGTTGACCACTTGGTGAGCAAAAATGCAAATACCTGAAAGAGTGGACCCCATTGAAACTTGGTACCACACACATTAAACTCATTGTTGTGTACCCTTTATAATAAGAGTGGCTATGATTTGTCACAAACTTATGCATATATAAGGCAAGATGACAAGCCAAGTTTGGTATTACTAGGGGTCAGAGTTCAAATATTATTAACGCTCATACAGTCGAACACTTGGTCGGATAAACAGTCAGACATGGCCAATTTCCCTATATGTTGGCATTCAATAGGTGTCCTTATGGATCCTTAACTGATCGCTGCATTGCAGGCTATTCCTAAAATCTTTGCCCTTCTTCATTGAGTCACTCTCAGGATTGATATATTTCCATGGCATTTCATCATTTCGAATGCAAGCGCCAAAGAGAAACGAATCAATATAGAACTTTGTAATTGGAAGAGCTAACCCAATCATAGAGCACGGCATGGAGTACTTGAATAGCACGCAGCCTTCCATTGGTTATCTCTCGATGTGATAATAGTAAAAGCTTTTTTAATTGATGGCTCAATTATATGAACACCCGGCATATGAAATGTGTATCGCATCTAGATAGTAGCGCACTTATCTATTGCGGCCCTAAGTGGAACTCGAGAGCATTGGCGTATCACGGTCACGCATTATTGGAGTTATAGGGCCTCTTTCAATTGTTGCTCCCAAATGAAGACCACAAGCTTATTTTATTTGTTCTGTCTAAATTTTGACCTGCCCAGCAGGGCTAGTTATTGAGGGAGGCTCTTGTGGTTCCCTCCCGATATTTGTTTTATACCACAGCGGAATAGGCCAACTGTCACCTTTTAATTGATTATACAATTGAAGTATGGCCGGCTATCGGTTAACGCACAGGGTCAGGGCTCTGGAGAACGTTTCGTTATACTCAAATTTGTTTACTTGGGCCAGGCCGGAAATGATGTGCTCCCCATTTTATTTATCGTCATTTTTATGCACCTTATGGGGCTCGTTTCGTTTTTGGCTTAGTCTTTTAGTTTTTAGTTTTAGTCTGTTTCGTTGGCCGCTGGCACGACATCCAAATGCGACATAAAACTTTAACGTGCCAATATATTTGCGGACTACTCTGCGCCATCGATTCGAGGTTTTTATTATCGTACTATATATGTGTATGAGTGCGTGTGTATGGGGAGCGCTATATTATTGCGTTCCATAGCAATTCTTAGGAAACATATACAAACACAAATATACGTGTACATATATAGTATTTATATATTCTGTGTGTATGCATGGTTGTATGCGAAGTGTCTTATCTATGGCAACGTGTCATTTCGATTGGGAAACAAGACGCATATTGTATATCATCTGCATGGCCCAAAAGATTGTGGTTGCACGTGATTTTGTTTTCTTATTTGAAGCAATTGCCAAAAACCTGACAGCAATCAAATGTGCAGAACAATAAACAATTATGCAACTAACTATCTTTACACTAACCTGATATTCCGATGTGATACTAAAAGTCTTCAATTTGTATTTGGAGATCCATTAGGCATTTCAATTTTAAAGTTATATTTTATTTCCTAACATAATTGAATGCTCAATCAACACTTAGGCCCAATTCTCGTTCAAACTAATTTAATCCAGAATGCGTATTTTTGCAGAAATTTAAAAGAAATTCGCGTGACAAACTACTTATCAGCTTTGCTAAAAAAAAGATTTTTAATTATGCAAATAATAAAACAATCGAGATGGGGTTGAATCATCTGGTACATGTTTCTTTATACCCAGAGATTTAAGTAATTAATAAAGTATGGAAAAAGGAGAATCCACTTATAAGAATCAGCTGATACAGAAAAGCATAAATAACTCCCCGTGGTACAATATTGGCCACCAAAGATATACCCTCTTTCTTGTTTTGGAATGTTCAGAATGTTGTCGCCAATAGTTGTTATTTATAGCCTTTTCTAACACGCATATAAATTTCGTCTGTTACGGTATCTTCATCCCCTATAGATAATGGTAGTTAGCGGAAAGATGCGGTGATTATCAGAGTGGCGATTATCGAAAGCAATATCACAAATACGCAGCTGTTTGGTTTCCAAGTCAATAAATAATTTCTCAGTCATCCAAGGATGATCATCAACGGTGAAATATATTATTCGACTAGAAGCTTTACGTTGGAAGATATTGGACATTAAAGCTTGGTTAATTTCTTCGATTTTGCACTGATTTAAAAACTGTAGAAATGCTGAAATACAATTCCTTTAATTTCTTCGAATCACATTCCTACAGCAAGAAGCCCTCTGAGCTCATTTGTTCGACCTACAACTACAAATTGAGGAACTTTAAGTTGACCTTGGCGATGGCGTCAATCTTGAAATACGAGTGCCCTCGATTTGTTTAACTATAGCACTCACCCTTAAATGTCGTGCATTACGAAATCAAATTGGAGCATTTTGCGATTTGCAAAAACCTTTTAAGTTTAATGCCGCTGACACGCAAATTAAATGCATCGACATGAAATTGAATTCACTCACCCACGAAATAGCTCGATCCTTGGCATTATTTTCTGTTCAATGTCTACCCTCAGCTCAGGGTGGATGGCTTGCCACCCTCCCGCTCTTGATGTACAGAGGGAGAGTTGTTCGTCGAAGAGGTTCCCATATCAGAGGGTACCCGGCAGTGAATGCTTAAATTTATTTGATTTGTTATTGTTGCCGTTGTTGTCGTAAACTGCTGCCACTACTTGTATTTGACAATGGGGCTACCCGTGTGTGTGGTGTGGGCAAATTTTCATTATCACCTGCTGCAGTACTATATAGTACAATGGGGGGCGAGTGAACTGTGAGAAGTTGATTGTGTTTGCCTGCGAAGCGCGAAAAAATCGAGGCCCGCGTCAGCCCGTAAATAATGGAAAATGTGCGTCATTTGAAAACAACACAATCATGTGTACTACATACATACTAGAGATATGTATGTATATAGAGCTAAATGCGGCTTTTATCATGGAGTTTAGGTCAGCACGCCTCGTTACCTAAACACAAACCATCCATGGCTCGCTTTTTAAAAGCCCACAGACTCGATGTGCCCCTGAATATTCGAAACAATTAAAGGCCGTGCAGTGTAAAATATAAAATCAAAACTAAACTTTAAAACTTGTATGTTTTTGTGCTGATATTTTGCTTTAATAAGACAATTGTTGTTCTACACAATGCGCTACATTTTTGGGGTTGGCTATATGGATTTATTGGATTTCATCATCTTTGAGATCTTAACATTATTCTAAAAACCGCTTCACAGCTAAAAAAATCAATAAATAAATTATTTTAAAACTTACTCAATCAAGTTGTTGCTCAGAAGTTGGAATAGATATAGAACTTATTTTTGCTTTAAAAAAATAATCGACAGAATGAAATAGTAATTAAACATTTTTTTCTGTAAAAGTGAAAGAATCTAAGTTTGTCAATAAAAATATCGCTTATACGCAATGGTGGCTCATTGCATATTTTAAATCTTTATTCAGAAAAAAAAAGAAAAGTATAAAAGAAGCAATTGAAAAATTCTATAAAATCCAAATCAATAATTTTGTTCTTCAAACGAAATTATTGCTAAACCCGTTTGCCCTTTCTGAGAATATAGATATCAAAGTTTTGTTGAATGGTATGGAACTTTTTAGACCCCCATTTCAGCTTCGACGTAGGGCTCTGATAAGCCGCTTACGGAGGTGTGAACCAAAAATCGTACAATTTTTAGAAATATGACGCCAAAATTCCATTTGCGCTTTTGCGGAACACGATTGCGCCTTATCTTGAGGCGGTTGGATGGGCGACATTTGAATTTTATTGCCAAGCTTTGTTATGGTGGTCGCTTTTGTTTTTACTGGTGATCGAGAGAGCTACCCATTATCAGAATACCAGCCAAGGCGGGCACTTGTGCGACTCGAAGGCGCTGAGTTACAATAGTCCATAACTTCGAGGTCGGCGAACAAAGAACTTTTGGAGCATTTCAGCTACGGTTTGAGCTAATTTCTTTTGTTTTGCACAGTTCTCATAGTGCAGGCAAAATGAATAACCATCATTTGTAAATAATACCAAAAAATGAACGAAACGCTAAACTCCAAAGTGCCAAGAATAACGAAAACAACAACGCCAACAATAATTGAGTCTGAAACTAAAAGTAAAAGAAAATCTAAACAGCTGAGCGCATCATCGGCGTCATCGCTTTCGCTATCGTTATCGTCATCGGAAACAACCTCTGTCTTTCCCCCTCCGAATATTGCCGCGTCCTCGTCTGCACCGACATCATATGTGATTAAATGCCTTTTAAAAACAGCACGTTTTATGTGGCAAGTGACGACAATACCCGCGAAAATCGGTGAAACTATAGGTACACTATACCGTTATGCTCAGGATTCTGTTGATAGTTTTCTCTGCGTAGCTGGGTGAGTTCCATTATAGAGTCCCCCAACCACAACTATTTTGTGCGAAGAAGTTAAGAAGCAGTAACAAGCAGTTTATTATAAAAGAAATATATATCTAAAATATTTATATCTAATCGTATTGCCTTCTCTCCGTATCTTTGCAGTAAGGCGCGCCGCAAGGAACGCGATGGAGATCAAAATTCAACAGATACCAAATTATATTTGGAGGAGAGCGTCCTAGAACGTAAATTACCTGAAGCTGATCTCAAAGCCCTAGTGGACCTTCCAGCTGGTTTGGATTACAATGAATGGCTGGCGTCACACAGTAAGTTCAATTCCAAGTTTCCCAAATTCAACTCAAGCCTATATCGCATGCATAAAGTACATACACTTCTGTGTATATAACTGTTATATAGTATATACCTAATATATAACGCAATTCTGTTGAGTGGCTTGTTTAAGGCGTTTGCGTGTTTTCTGTTTCGACACACGTGATTCGCAAATTATTATTATTATTATTATACCCTACTGTACGCTAACAGAGTATAAAATTTAAATGCACATAAGGCCTAGGAAGTACTACATATATGTGTACCCTTAAATTACCATAAACCTATAAAAAGCAGCGTTGGGTGGCGAAAAGAGGATTTAGTTTGAACAACTTTAAAGCTTTCGCCTTTATTAGTGAGCCAGAAATTGTAGCGCTATCATGATTTAAGGTTCTCAGAATAACTAAAGAATTTTTTAATCGTTAAAGGTCGTGTTTCAGCAACTTCTGGTCTTTAGCTTAAAGCATTTTTATAGAGAGCAACAAATATAATTTGAACTCGATTTAGGGTAATTCCTTATTAAAATCGGCTCCAAATTCTTTTGGTTTAGTCGGTTCATAATATAATGTAGTTTCGAAATTGAAAACTCTCTTGTTTGATATTTAAATACTTAACGAGTGTCCAGTAGACGTAGTTTCCTAGTTTAAATCCTATATCATAGCAAAATACATATATACTAGGCCTTTGAATCTCCTATCCGTTACTCCTAGCTGTGCCCCACCCGCTATGAAAGATGTGATAAGATATTAGAAGTGGGTGAAACAAAGGACTAATCAATAGAACCAATATAGACACTATGCGAGGAAGAGGAGGAAAAAGAGCGTCATTATTGAGGTTGTAATTAGTTTGCGTTTGTCAGAAAGATAGATCAATAATTATTTCGTTAGAATATAGAAACCATAACGTAACTAAACAGTCTGATATGCAATAAATAAAAGGGACCAAGCTAAACTCCCCACAAAATGTGTTCTCACACTACACATATATAGTATACTATACAAGTATGTATGGTCGTATCGCAATCATTTGTGTTTGGTTTGTATAGCCCACATATTTTGTAGGTTTGTTATCGTGTGATTTATATGCACATATATAAATATATATATACAGCAAGTGCCAAGTGCCGCTGGCAATTCTCGATAGACGAACTGACGGTAGCAGTTGTTTGCTGTTAGACCAATTGCTCATGGGGCCATGTCGACAGTTATGGCGACTGTGGGAGCTTTTAGGGGCCACTGGAGGCTAGAGTTATACCGAGCACGTGTCATTAAACAGCCGCTGACTATTGACAGAGCGATTCCACAGCTGGAAATTTGCATTTGCGATGCATATGGCACACGGGCAGTTCCGATATCATCTAAACGCATATGAGCTCTCGAATGGGCCATGTGACGTGATCGTTGGAACCATGATTAGCAAAACCATGAATGAGTGCGTAAATCTGCACGAACCTCAGACTCTTATCGTGGTTGCACAAAAAGACAGTTGACTGAAAAGTCATGTCTATATTTTCTACAAAAAGCGAAAGCTCGCTCATAAAAACGTTGTTTCAGCATTCTACAGCTTGTGACGTCATCTCTAATCTGCTGTTTATATATTTTTTGAGCCTCTTCTATCTCTTTAGGTAGCCAAGTTTTTTTTTTTTAGTTCTTATGCTGCTCATCTGCAGCCAATTTAGTGAACTTAATTAACTCTTGATGAATTAATGTTACCCTCAGGAGTTCAATTACATCATCTCGATATTCGTGTTCGGCTTCTCTAACCCCAATTATTTTTAAAGGAATTACATCATCGTTATTGACTTTGGCGTCAATATGCACGAGAATGTGTTTTATAGTAACAATTAACTCACAGCTTGTATGCAAATGCTGCGCCCGTAATTGGCAATATTTCAGCAAATTGTAGGTTCTGCCTCTTTCACGGTTCGCCATGGGTCGAGGCCATTGCATCAAAAGAAAAGCTCATTGTTTCAGCTGGCTTTGATACATCCGCTATATAGTATAAATAAATGAAGGCATTCCTACAAATGTTTGTTTCTTCAAAACAAATTATTACTTGTTTTTTTTTTTTCAAAAGCCAATACCTGTTTGTGTCAAATATCATTCAATACATAATAAAATTGAGTTAAAGGGAAGCGGAGTAAAAACGCCAAAAAAAACTTATACAAAGTTTAATAAGTGTTTTGGAAAGTATTCCTTAAAGTAAAACAGTTGTTCCTGCAAATATTTTAATTTCCTCAAATTTAAAGAGATATTCAGAATACAAGTATATTTCAAGTTTGTTTGGCTAATTAAGCATTTAGCAACTCTTTTTTTGTTGTCTGTATTTAAATATTTAAGCAGCTAAGCAATTAATTAAACAGCCATTCATGAGGTGTAAAATAATAAATGAATTGTGTAAGAGAGTTTTTAATATGATTTGCAATTAGTACAACTTGGTGATAACTTGTAAACGAAATAGTAAGTGCAACTTGTTATCTATTTACAGCTCTCGCTCTCTTCGAGCACGTAAATTTGGTTTATGGAACTATTAGTGAATTTTGTACACAATCCGGTTGCGCAGATATGACTGGACCAGGCAACAGGTAAGTGTGTTGGGATGATCTGAGATGATCGAAAATATATGCATTTGCTGATGATCTCTGATTATTTTATTCCTTTGTGCAGAACGTACTTATGGTTCGACGAGAAGGGCAAGAAGACGCGCGTCGCGGCACCACAATACATCGACTATGTGATGACGTTCACACAAAAGACGGTCAGCGACGAGTCGATATTCCCAACCAAATACGCGAACGAGTTTCCCGGCTCGTTCGAGTCGATTGCCCGAAAGATTTTACGCTTGCAATTTCATGTGATAGCGCATCTCTATGCGGCGCATTTCAGAGAAATCGCGCTGCTCGGTTTGCACACCCATTTAAATCTGACGTTTGCGCATCTGACGGCGCTGCATCGGCGCTTTAATCTGATCGACGAGAAGGAGACGGACGTGCTGCGCGATCTGGAGGTGGCGCTGCGCCTCACCGATGACAGCACCAACGGGAGCAGCGGCAGTGGCGGGGGCGGCGGCGGCGGCGGTGGTGGTAGTGGTGGTGGTGGTGGTGGTTCCGGAGACCATGCGTCCTCAACCAATGTGGCAATGTCGACACAAGAGTCCTTAGCGCCGGGCGGAGAGCAGCATAACAACAGTAGCAGCAACACCTCCTCGGCGTCCACCACCCTCGAGCATGTCAATTCACAAAGCAACAACAGCCACACAGCATCGCTGATCGATGGCGATGCCGTGGCGCCGCCCATCTGCACACAGCCAGAGGCGGGACTGATGGGCGGCATTTTGGGGGATTTGACAAGCGGCGAATTTGGTGATACTACGCGATATTGTACTTCGGCGGTTCCTCAAGCGGCGCATGCGGACAGCGCGGCGCAGGCGATAGCAGCTGCGGCAGCAGCAGCAGCAGCAGCGACTACGACGACGCTTAACAATGGCGCGGGCGCATTAAATTTAAACTATAGCAACAATAATAACAATAATCATAATTTGAATCATCTAAACCATTTGAATCATCACCACCATCCCCATCACCACCACCATGGCCATCATGGACACCACCATCACCATCATGGGGTGGCGGCCGCGGCGGCCGCAGCGGCGGGCGCTTTGGCAGCCTCCAACAATACGTCGTCGACAACAACATCAACAACAACAACGGCATAGTGCGCGCCCACACAAAGGTTAGCGTAAGGGATAGAGCTAGAGCTAGAGCGGCAAAAACAACAACAACAACAGAAACAACAAGAAATAAAAAACATTAGAATTACTAGAGTTACGCAAAGATGTTATTTAATGTTATTACTTCTATGATCCTAAAGTTGAAAATACAAACTGTAAAAATAACAACAACAAATGCAATTTTATGTAAATGCAGCAGCAACAACAACAACAACAATCACCTATCCAAATCGCATATAAGAGTGTGTATGTGTGTGTGTGTGTGTGTGTGTGTGTGTGTGTGTGTGTGTGTGCGAGCGATAAAAACTGAAAGATGTCTAATTTGATTGACAGGATATAGAAGGAAAGAGCAGGTCACACCGTCAAATAATTTGCACACAAACTCGTCCAATTCGAAACTGAACTAACTCTGAAAGAAAATCTTTTAACATTATAAATTGGTACGCAAACTATTTGCCTGTCTGACCACAGCTCAACTGCAACTCTGTACCGTGCAAGTTCTCTTGAAGACGATTAGACAATAAATTTTTGGTCCGTCTAATTTTGTAGCCCAGTGTACATTTCAGATTAGTTTCAAGTCTTTTTGCATATATGTTTTTAGAAATAATTGAAGTTGTTGTCAACTTACTAGCGGCCTAAACAAGCCGGTTGTTTTTGAAATAGTTCTTTAGTTGACTAGATTATCTTTTAGTGTTTGTGTATATACCGATTTGTCTGTATCCAAATTAGACAACTTTCATGGAACAATAATTGTCTGGTGCAAAAAGAAAACATTTAACGCATATAGTACAATAGTCTTAGCTTTTTCCAAGTTGTTGAAGCTGCAGCATAAAGTAAGGAGTGAGCTGGCTTGGACGTTTTAAAAGACGCTTATGCTTTAGATACAAACGCAAGATATATATATATATCTATATATATATATACAGAAGAACATAATAAGATTTGCAAATATTTATAAATCATCATCACAGCAGCAGCAGCGGGAGGAAAGTTTGCGGACAATACGAAGCGTTAGTTACCATTTACAGAAACTGCTTCGCAAGATACAATAGAGAAACTCACTAAACAATTATCGAGCTATCGATTTTAGGAAGGACATCGCTCTTGTCATTATGCACTCGTCGTCACTTAACTAAGTACCAACACTTAGATTCTCTGCCTAGTACATGAAATAAGGATAACTATGAAACAATATTTTTGCACGAAATCTGCTCAAATGCGATGCGACTATTTCATTAGCTTGTCTAGTCTTGGCTCTTGCCAATTGCCAAATGTATTCAGAGGATTGAAGCTTCCCACATAATAATGAGAACTTGAAACTATTTGCATTCACCTTAAACTAATTAAATTAAAAACAAATGAAGAAAAACAAGAACACTTTGCTAGCCACGTTTGAATTTATCTGCAGGCGCCTGAAAGTATGCACCGAATCGCACCAACTATCCATAAATTAGCACTCTCTTCGAAACAAAGGCCAGCAACTGCATAGCATTATTTAAAACACACAGACACAAACAAACGAACACACACAAAAGCAACAAATTAACAAAGCTACTAGCAAATGGCAATGAAGCGAAATTACTTTAAAAAATATGTAATAATAAACAAACAAACAAACAAATAAAATGTTCTGTGTAAATTGTTAGATTTTTGTGAATGAAAACCAAATACATATACATTCATATGTATGTATGTACACACATGTATTTGTGTATGTATGTATTGCACTTCAGCGACAAAGTCCTTTCCCATCCTGTTGCAGCAAAAAGTAAGCCTTTTGAGACACACAACCTAATAAACCCACACATAAACATAAATACGTTAAAAGTCTTTCAACTTTTGCAATACATGCATACTTAGCTATGTATATGTATGTATGTATGTATGTATGTATATAAGATACCAACTCCTATGAATTACAACTGAATGGGGGAAAAAACAATACACATCGTTTTGTTTTGTAGTTTTTGTGTACTTAGCGCTGCGATAATGCACATCGATGTGCAAACTTACAAATGAATTAAATGCAAGAGCATAATTTTACGATACAAAAAAATATATATATACAACAAAATGGAACACTTAAAAATAAACTAAATTGTTATGTTCAATTAAAAACGTTGTTTTGTTTTTCATTCTCAATGGAATTTGCAGATTTCGCAATAAAAAACAAATGCTTTTAAAAGCAAACGAAGACGAAAACTATTTATTTTAATTGAACACTTTGAACATTTTTGTTTTTTAATAAAAATTAACTTACATCGGTCTTGCAAGGAGACCGAAACAATATTTTGTAGACTTTTCGCTCGACTGATCTCTACAAAAACTAGTAGTTCACAGAAAAATAGGCAGAGAAGATAAAAGGAATATTGGCGCCATCTAGCGATCTTTCTGAGCCTAAGGTACCAATGTATTATTGTGCTGTGCTCGTAGCGGTGAAGATGGGAAACTGTATTAAATAGCCAGTAGTTCACAGAGAAGGCGCTAGATAAGAGAAATATGTGGCAACCTCATTCGCCACTATTGGTATCACTACCGATGGCAACTCCGATGGCAAGACTTTCGATGTGATCTATCGACGCTACGGCCTTGCCCGCGCTACAACACGTATATAATATATTGAACATTATCTTGTAAAGTATTGTATTAAATAAAGTGTATATAATACTAATAGATGGCTCTTGCATTCGCCATAGTGGTGACCCCAACATTTTTGAATCATACGTAAAACTAAAACGTTTCACATTGTAGCGCATGAAACAACATAGATACGACCTACGCTCCCTTACAAGAAAAAAACTAATTTTCCAAGACGAACCTTCTACAAGCAACATGAGTGAGTTGGAACAGGCAATCAAGGATCAGCTACGTTTGCTTCAGAGCGAAATGGACACATTACGTGCTGTTCAACAACCAAGCAATGGGGCAAATCAATTTGCACCGCCACCGCAACGCTTGCAAATACAGGTACCCAAATTCACTCGCAGCAATCCACAACTTTGGTTCGCACAGGTGGAACGCGCTTTTCGCCTTAACAACGTCCATGCTGATGTAGATAAATTTGACCTGGTCACAGTACAGTTAGAGGAAGACATCGCACTGGTCGTGGCTGATTTAGTAACCAACCCACCGGCTAACGACAAATACGCTGCTCTTAAAACTCGTCTCCTGGAAAAATTTGCCGAAACGCCTGAATCTATGTTGCGTCGTTTGTTACAAGGGGGAGAGACGGCTGGCATGAAACCGTCCGGAATTTTGGCGCACATGCGTCGGCTGGCCCCAGATCCCAAGCACGAAAATATAATCCTTACACTGTTTCTTGCAGAGATGCCGGTGTCCATTCGACCAATACTCTCGGTGTGGGAAGAAACCGATCTTGACAAACTTGCCAGGATTGCTGACAAGATGTTAGAAGCTGGCGGAACAAATACTACATATTCTATGGCTGCCGCCGAAGACTCCGTTAGCGCAATCGCTTCCCCAAAATCAATCACAGATCTAACAGAGGCTATTCGTACACTGTCAGAAAAGGCCGAAGGATCCGCATCTCTTGCGGAAGGGGTTCTCCCGATAAGGGAAGTCGACTTCATTATCCGGGATGTCATAGCCAGGATAAATCAGCTTTTAACTCATGAACAAGTAATCTTGAGAGGGGAGCCCATGGGTCTGGACTTATTGGTATGCAAACAAGGACTTCCAAATCAACAACAGGTGATGGCGAAGTCACCACGCCACCCGAGCCAGGGCCCAGCTCAAGTCATTGAGGTAATCCCACCTACAAATGCGGACAACATCGAGAAGGCCTCTTCCCGGTACAAGGCGCTAATGGACAAGGGATACAAGCTGAAGTATTTGAACCCCACAATAAGTGGTACCTATAACATTGACCCATCAAATAGGGACTTCTCCATACAAGTCCTTGAGTCTGTGAGACCACTCCGGGGCGATTACCCATCCAGCGACTTCAATCTAGTTAGATTGGTTTGGGTCTATCAGAAGAAGTGGAATCAATACTCAAGTCTCCTGGACTTGACACCCCTTAGGAAGAAATAAGAGGGATGACAGATCCGAATCTCAACAGTACAAAGCGCTGATGACTTTCGAAATCTTCTCAAAGAATTCGTGGAGGTTACAAGACCGCCAAACTTATCTACACAGACTGACTCTGAGGTCCGTCATTTCATCGAAACAACTGGTAGCCCAGTCGCTGATCGACCTCGGCGCCTCGCCGGCGAAAAACTTTTAGCTGCAAAAACAGAAGTCAATTTTCTCATCAAACAGGGAATCTGTCGACCATCAAAGAGTTGCTGGTCCAGCCCTCTGCACTTAGTAGCCAAAAGGATGGTAGTTGGCGCGCCTGCGGGGACTACCGCAAATTAAACGCTGCTACAATTCCAGATCGTTATCCGATCGCGCACATTTACGATTTTTCAGAACAGCTAAACGGAAAAACGATCTTCACGGCACTCGACTTGGTGCGTGCATATTATCAAGTACCAATGGCCGAAAACGATATCAAAAAGACTGCTGTTTGTACACCATTTGGCCTTTTTGAGTTTCTAAGGATGCCTTTTGGATTAAAAAACGCTACCCAAACCTTCCAAAGATTTATGGATAATCTATTTCGTGGATTGGATTACGTATACTGCTACATAGATGACATCCTCATAGCCTCTACGACAGCTGATGAACACGAAAAGCACCTCAGCACAGTTTTGGAGATTTTGCGAAAACACGGCTTGTGTATCAACGCCAGCAAATGTCAGTTCGCAAAATCCGAGGTTCGTTTTTTAAGTTATACTATTAACGAAAACGGTATAAAGCCACCCAACGATCGCATAGAAGCAATTTTGAACTACGCCAGACCGGATACCATTTGTGAGCTAGGTCGCTTTCTTGGAATAATAAATTATTACCGCCGTTGCTTACCTCATGCGTCCCATATTCAGGCACCTCTTTCTGAGCTCACAAGAGACATCAAAAAAAATGACAAACGCAAAATTACATGGACTCCTGAGTTGACAAAAGTTTTTGAGGACTGCAAGTGCAGCGTGGCGGATGCGACGCGGTTGGCGTATCCAATGACTAAGGCAATATGGGCTTTAGTTTGTGACGCTTCTGACGTTGCCATTGGAGCTTCCCTCGAGCAACAAGTCGACGACATGTGGCAGCCACTGGGTTTTTTTTCTAAGAAGCTAACCAAAACGGAACAAGGCTACAGCACCTACGACCGTGAGTTGCTTGCCATTTATGAAGCAATCAAACACTTCAAACATCTTCTCGAAGCACGCGTTTTTGTCATTAAAACGGATCACAAACCATTGACCTTTGCTTTCAACCAACGACCAGAGAAGGCATCCGATAGACAGCTGAGGCAACTAGATTTCATATCACAATTTTCGACCACAATTGTACACGTGAAAGGCGAACAAAACGCAGTTGCAGACGCACTGTCGCGACTGTGCGAAATAAAGATGCCGACCACAATCACCTTCTCCAGTATAGAAGCAGCTCAAGCTTCTGACACTGAGCTGAGTGAGCTACTAAAAGGAACAACAGCATTACAGTTGAAATCAATTCGGAACGATGACAACACAACCATTTTCTGCGATGTTTCTACAGGCCACATACGTCCATACATACCCAGAAGTCTGCGTCATCAGGTGTTCGTTTCTGTACATGGATTGTCACACCCTAGTGGCAGAGCAACACTTCAGCAACTACGGAAACAATATGTCTGGCCATACATGAACAAAGACGTTTTATATTGGTGTAGAAATTGTCTCCCATGTCAGAGGGCGAAAATTCACAAGCACAATTCCTTGCAGCCTCGAAAAATTGACGTTCCCGACAAGAGATTTGAGCATGTCCATATGGACATAGTCGTATTGCCACTTCAACAAGGTTTTCGTTATTGTTTAACAATGATTGACCGATTTTCACGCTGGCCGGAAGCCATACCGCTTCGCGACATTACAGCAGAGACGGTTGCATCGGCATTCTGGACACATTGGATTGCTCGTTTCGGCACACCTAAAACTCTGACAACCGATCAAGGTACCCAATTCGAGTCTGCGTTATTCAAGGAGCTTATTAAATTGATTGGTGGACAACATATTCGTACAACGCCTTACCATCCACAATCCAATGGCCTCATCGAACGATGGCACAGATCGTTCAAAACAGCCCTTATGTGCCATTCCGATTCTCCTTGGACGGAAATACTACCCACTGTGCTACTTGGATTGCGGTCATGCTACAAACACGATTTGAAGGCGTCTGCAGCAGAAATGCTATATGGCGCACCGTTAAGATTGCCGAATGAATTTTTCGACGACATTGATGTTGCTGCTGATTCTGATATTTTCATCACTAAGTTTCGCAGCCATATGCGACAAGTACGCCCAACAGCAACATCGCATCACATCCGAGACAAATTATTCTTACAAAAAGGAATCAACGACTGCACACATGTGTTCATAAGAGTTGATTCCGTCAAACAGCCGTTGCAGCCGCCATATACTGGTCCCTACGAACTGGTGCGAAGAGAAAATGATCGTGTCTTTATCATCAAGAAAAATGGTAAAGAAGTAGCGATTTCCATAGACAGACTCAAGCCGGCTTTCGTGGTCAAGGACGATGCTGACAAATCACACAAACTTCAAAAATCTGAGTCCAAGCCAACACGCACCTACGAAAAACATTTTCGCGTACGGTTTTCCCAGCCTTTACCGTGACAGGTTTTATAGAGGGGGAGTACTGTGGCAACCTCATTCGCCACTATTGGTATCACTACCGATGGCAACTCCGATGGCAAGACTTTCGATGTGATCTATCGACGCTACGGCCTTGCCCGCGCTACAACACGTATATAATATATTGAACATTATCTTGTAAAGTATTGTATTAAATAAAGTGTATATAATACTAATAGATGGCTCTTGCATTCGCCATAAATATGAACAAGAAATTTTCTTTGTTTTAGTGTTGGCCGCCACTGGTACAAAATTCTAGCAGTGCTCTTTGCTGAGAAAATGGAAATTTCATTAAAAAGGCAGTAGTTCACAGAAAAGACGCTAGATTACAACATTTTTATGAGCTCCACCTAGCGATCTTTCTGTGCTTACTATATTAGCCGCACCTGCTCTATAATTTTCTACAAGGTATTCTGTATTTCATTTAAAAATTTTATTTTATACATAATTAAATTGCTGAATGGATGAAATGAAATGAATGCAACAGATTGAAAAATATGCAATGTCGGCACGGAATTGATTTATAATGTAAAACAAGGTATAATTGGCTTGATAAAACTCACTTTGGAATACTTGTACTGTTTTAATTGTAAAAGCTTTCCCAAACAGCATATGTGTCGAATTATATGTCGTAGACAATTTTAGGATTAGAAACAGAAATAATTCGAATATATCGCTTTCGGTTCCTATTAGTCGAAAATTTAATAATATCTGTTTAAAATTCCTACTATTTAATTATTAAAAATGAATTCTTGGTAAGTAAATAAATGTACATAATTACCGTGTAAATAAAAGTTCATCTTTGTCAAGGTTACGCAACTCCTTAACTGAAATCGCTCGCACGAATCGCCACACGGACTGCACCTTCACAATCGAAATGAAGGGCTGTAGTCGGGTGTTCCCCTGTCATAAGCTGATCTTCAGTTGTGCTTCAGATGTTTTCGATCGCATGCTCTTTGGAGGCTATAATGAGTCCAGCTCGGGAATGGTTAAGCTAACCGATGTACATCCTGACATATTTGAGAAATTTCGGGACTACGTTTACGGCTATGAGTACGACAAGCTGAAGAAATACGACTTCGACACACTTATACAGCTCTCGGAGTTCGGCAACAAGTACTTGGTTGAGTCCATCAAGGACGATTGCCTTCGAGAGATACTGGAGCGCAAATACTCTTATGATATCGGAGAACTGCTGCGCCTGTTCCAATGCGCACACAATCTGAACGTAACGAAGTTTATCGATTGGGTTTCGTGGGTTCGTTTTCCAACTGGTATTTTAATTATTGTTTATAGAAAGTTAATGCTTGTCAGGAACTCAAGACAAACTCGAAAAGCTTGATGGGGCATGCTGGTATCTATGAGTTCAATACGGATGTATTCAAATCGTATCTGAAGGTCGTCTCGGGCAAGCTCTCGGAGTCTGAGCGTTTCAATGTGCTGGAAATGTATCTTAAATACCACGGCTTGGACGATGTCAGTCCAGAGGAGGAAGCAGCTCCTGAATTTGGAGGGGGTGATATCAAGGAAAATACTTCCTACACCGAACTGTCCACCTCTGACTCAACCGATGAGGTTGAGGAGCCAGTCGAGCCTAAATCTGAAGTGCCGGAGCCTGAAAAAAACATTTGCAGTAAATATGTATTTGAGCTGATCGCGCTGATCGACTTCAGCAGGTTTACACCCAAAGAGTTCTACGATGGTCCTGGCAAATCAAATTTTCTCAGCCTGGCCCAGAAATACGAATATCTCTATAAAATAGCGCGAAACGCTTCACAGGCCAAGGAAGAATTGGAACAGAAATTAGAGCGCAGCCACAGTGTGGAGCCGCAGTCATGTGTTCCTATGTTCGCATCGAGTCAAGGTCATCCAAATCATCATACAGGACATCAAGGACATCTGGCCCCATCGAAATGTGATCGAATGCGACATCCACGTCATCGTTACGAGTGGACCGATTACGATCAGTAACTAAGACTTTAGTTCATAATTAAGGCAATGCAAGTAACACGCAGAACTGTGCGATTTATTTGAAAAGTCTGAAATGTTAATGCCAAAGATGTCTGTTGCAGCAGAAAAATATAGAACGATTTACAATTTTGTTGGTTTTAAATGAAGGAGTTTAATAAATTTCTCTGCAAATTATTTGTCTGTCTGGACAATGAAAGTTCAAGGCGAGTTTTGTTTTCTTTGCAAAAAATATAAAATTACCATTGATTTTAATTTTTTTATAATATTTCATCTTTTATTCGTAATTTTTTATGTTAATTTTTTGTATTTTGCAAAAACTAGTAGATATCGTATTCATGTATAGTATTTGGAATATTTCACTAGTCGAAATTGATTTTTAATTGTGCGTCTAAAGAGAACTGCAGTTGTTTTTTATTGGACCTATTTAAAAGCAATTAAAATTAAATTATTGAAGGGTCGATTCGCAAAGCCCTTATTTTCAACCAAAATATTAGAGATTCCTATTCATTACCTGTATTGGGATGTTATTTAACGTAATAAAACTCTACGGGCTTCAAATTTGTATAGAAATTTCGATTGGACCTAATATTTATTTTGATAGTTCAATGACTGTTTCTGAGAAGATGAGTTTTGCAGACAACTACATACTAAGTCAGTATTATTTGTATTTAGTGCCTTTATTAAAGGTAAGGGATGATGGAGCCACAGGCACATCCTTTGCGACTGTTCAGCCTAGGTCTGGAGTTGGAGAAAGCATCTCCCTTACTCTTATCCCTTTCGGAGAGCACATCAATAGGCTCCTCCCATCGATATGAAATTCCCAAAAACTTACCTTTAAATAAGATTGCAATTCAAAAGCAAACGGTTTTAAATTTTTAAAAAATTTTATTTTATTTATTTTTTTTGGTGATTTTTATTAATTTTTTATTCAACTTTTACACAGAGAAAAAGAAATTGCATTTTAGCATTTGTTTTTTGTTTTTGTATTTGTTTTGTTTTCCATCATTTGATTAATTAAAATTTGTTAAATTGCTAGAATTTGTTAAGCGCTACTAAAATTTAAATTTGTTGTTTATTAGACATATAAATATATTTATATATAAATACGCAATTGGGATGGATATTCATGCAAATGCAGGCAAGCTTTTCTCACAAGGACTTGAAGAGGGGCTCGCGAATTTGCTTGAATATCGACATTAATCGCTTTGTTTCTTTTGTTCTTCTTCATTATCCATCCTCCCTTGTTACATTTATTCATTTACTCCCCTCTTTATACTTGTCGATAATAATAATGGAAACTTGGTAAACATTTCTTAATCAGATAGCTACATGATTTACAACATAGAATTCTGTATAATCCATTTATTGATAACTACTCATATTCAAATACATAATACATATTATCTGTTTTGTTTTGTTTCGTTTCGTTCTAGAGCTTTGTTGTGTACTGTTGTGTAGTATTTAATATGTAAATATTTGAAGGGGAACCGGGGACTTTCAGGACCGGGCAAGACAAGTACTTGCCGGAGTGCGGACTGAGAGAGACTACAAAGAATCGGATCAATGTACACTACTTTTGTGTTTTAAAGTGAAATGCCATTTTCCCCATACACCAACACACTTGTGTGCATATATATGTATGTATGTATGTATGTATGTATGAAGGGGAAAAGCGTAAGGACGAGCTACAGTTAAAGTACTGGATATAGTTATCGGTTTGAATAATACGAAAATTTGCGAAATTAATGACAACTCTTCAAATAAACTAATTTATGGCATTGGGCGATCAACCTGCCCGCTCTATTTAGTTCACATGAGGCTTCCAGTCTCGTCCCGTCCCATCTCACAGAACGAGCCACAACTTGGCCATCAAAGAGTTGGCCGTCTGGTTTGTGTTCCACAAACTGGCCCTAGCTACGCACATAAGTATAACAAGGAGCAACTTTTTCTCATTAGTAGGTCCTATGTTGTTCCTCATTTGTGTAATTTAAATAAATTATGTTTTTGTTTTTGTTTTTTTTTTTTATTCATCACATGGTGGGATAATCGTTTACTTCTCATTTCTGTTGAAGTAGAACATTGAAAACTGGTTCGATTCTCACTTCCTATACAAAATACTTAAAATTGTGGGATTCATTACGAAATCTCATTGCCAATCTAATCCTAACTGACGACGACGCTTCCCTGCCACAGCAAGCGTCCATATATGTGTGTGTATATGTATATATGTATATATGTATATATATATATATATATATATATATATATATATATATATATATATATATATATATATATATATATATATATATATATATATATATATATATATATATATATATATATATATGTATGTATAATTTGGAATGCAACTGTGATATTTGATGTGTGCTCTGCTCAAAATATTTGTAATTTATTTATTATTGTTCCATAGAAGCGACGGCTTACTTGTCTTTCTTTATGGTAATTGGTGAATGGTGTACAAGTATGTTTAAAATGTATGTGAAGTATAGTTTTGATTTCTATTTCTGACAGTATATTGATTGGTTCCTTTTGACACACACAAACACACACACACACACACATTCACACACACACATGCACATACAAATATTATTATATTGTTTGCATGCTTATTACCTTTTCTTTTCTTTTGTTTTAGTTTTCCTTTTTCATATTTAATTTACTATACATTTAGAGTATGTGGAATATCTACCAATTTCTACTTGCTTTGCCTTTTGTTTATATGTATGTATATATGTGTAATATATATATATATATATATATATATATACTTATATAAGTAGGTATGTATATATAATTTGCATGTATAAATATGTATTTGCTTATGCGCTTCATACCTTCCCTATTATCATTACTGTTTACAAAATACTTTGAGGAGCACTGGACGTGTCTATGTTTTTTTGTTCTTCTTCTTTTTACACATTTCATATAACCATCCAAAATACGAATGTTTCGATTTCTTTAAATGTTCTCTTTCTACATATGTATATAGAAAAATACGCTAAAAGCAGTTCTGCGAACACTGTAAACAAAATGTAAGCCAAATTCAACACTGAAAGCGATGCGTTCTACAAGTTGTGTGTTTTCCAACACTGTTTCTTCTTCTAAATTTCAATAAGCGAATTGGGACAAATACCTTTGTTTCCATTAAGTAAAACCAAAATAGTTAAATGGAGGCAAATTATATTTAAAGACACTACAAATCTAAAAAAAAAAAAAAAGTACTCTTTACAGTTATTCATGTAATATTTATGTAATACTCAAGTGGTAAAGAAAATGCTACTACGTTATTTTGTTTTGTTAATTGTTGTTGTTGGTGCTATCTGAAATATTTCCATACGCATTCAATTGTTTAGATATTACGATAAATAGATCACATTCATGGTTCTATTTTTCACGTTCTTGCATATCTTATGTTCACATTTCTTTCTTCATCTTCATCTCCTTCTCGTCTTCTCTTTTTGTTTAAATTTTTAATTATAAATACAATATGCTTTCTTTGCAGTTGCTGCTATTTACATAGATGTGGGTGTATGTGTGTGTGTGTGTGTGTGTGTGTTTGAAATTCGAATGCAAATTAAAATCGTTCATAAGGTATTGTTAATAGTATTACTTACATATGTTATTTATGGCTATCGAAGTGTGTATTTGTGTAAATAATAAGCAGTGAGTAACGTATTTAAAAAAATTACACTTTTCAGTTATTATGGTTTGTGTGTGTGTGTGTGTTGTTTGTATGTTTCGAGATCGGTTGAGGGATATACATACATACTATGTTGTATTAAATTTCATTTACTGGTACATTAAATTATTGCAAATGATTTTCGTGTTTGTTGTTTCTCCTGCTTGATTCTGCATAAATAAATTCTTGCCTTATCTTATTACTTAATTAATACGCACTACAATCGTTTAAATTTGTTTCAAGTTTTCGTTTGCGTCCTTGTAAAAATGTTGTTTTGATGTTGTTGTTGTTGTTGTTGCTGTTATTATTATTGAAATTTTGTTTTGTTGTTGTAATGCTACGCTAAAAATTACATACATACTTTAAAATTTATTAACACAGATGACTTTATATTTCCAAATCTTGCTTTACTTTAGTTGCCCATTTTTTATTTTATTTTATTTTTTCGTTTTGTTTCGTTTTTTGTAATTTCTTTTTTATGCATCTCTTTTCTTTAGCTTTCTTCATCAACAATCTCTCGTCTGTTATCCAAAAAACAATTTGTTGCCAACTAACTAGCCAAAACGTTTATATAATAGGTATTGTATTTGTTGTTTAGTTTGCTTTTACAAATTTTATAATTGTTATCAATATACACATACATACATCATTGTTTTGATAAAACGCTGTTGTTGTTGTTGTTGCAATTGTTGTTGTTGTTGTTGATGTTGCACACAAACTAAACTATGCAAGTAGTACTTGTATGTATATCCTAAATACACAGCTGCTCCGAAAGAGTCCGGAAATGCTGTAATGCTTTGTTCGCCCCTTGTTAATGTTAAAATCTTACATTAGAAACACATCGATCGAATACTATAAATATATATGTATATATGTATGTATATATATTTTACTTAAATATCATTATATATCTATATAGCCACACGGCTACGATTTGTTGTTGCTTTGCCCACAGAGTTTTGAACTCTGCACAAAAATAAGAAAATGAGAACGAATGATCAAATCAAATAACTTTGTTTAGCAAATTAGGTGGAAACATTGCTATTTGTATTCATTATTATTTATTGCATTATTGTTTTTTTTTTTTTTTTGTTTTTTAATTTTTATTTTGCTCTTTAATTGGTAGGAGAACTTGCTTTGCTTTCAACGTAAAAAGAGTATCGAGCGACAATTTGCAGCGGGGATGGGATTGGTTTGGATTAGATCGAGATCTTCCACAACTGATCTTTGGGAAACAATTGTGTAAAAGCTGAGGGGAAATGCTTCGATATACTCATACAAAGAAATTGCATTCATGTATCAATACTCATGGAATATTTATTTATTTTTGGCAAGCGCTGGAATTACTCATAAATATTTGTTTCAAAAGTACTTTTATCTTTTGGGCATCTGCTGTGAGGAATTATTCACTATTTGATAAAACACAGCTAATTTATGGTTTAGACAAGCGCTCGTTAATTAACTAACTGTCCAAAAGTATAAATAAATATCTGCAATTTCTGAATATTATTTACTTTTAGATCGTGGTTTTTCGCCGCAAACTGTGCCATAAATAAATTGCTTTAGAACCGGCCCGTAAGAACATGTTACAAGTATACTGTTTCTACTACAAAATTTAGCTTTTGTTTCTCTCTTCAAGTATGAATAAGAATGCATTTAAGTATGCCTGTGTGTGTGTGTGTGTGTGTCGTGTATATGTTTGTATGTATGCATTTATCGATAGTATTAATTATTATATAATATCACATCAACTTTGTTTTTTTTTCTCCCTCTATTTACTTGCCACTGCACTCTGCTAGTTCTTATTGTTTGCTCGCATATATAAATTTGTTGTTGTTCTTGTTGTTTGTTTGTTTTCAATATATCAATATATGTACGTGTATATAGATTTTAAAGCCTACTTTGATCGAGAAGAAAACATATACACACGGATATATGCACTATATATGGGATGTATGTATGTATGTATGTTTGTATAATCTAAACAATATAATTCCTTGCCTTTAATTTTGTTATTGTTGCTCTCTTGCAACATTGATAGTAATACTCTCTCTACCCACCTCCCTCCCTCCCTCCCTCTGTCGCTCTATCTATCTCTCTGCCTGATAGCTCTGGGTGTTGTTGTTGTTGTTGTTTTCATTTGATTTAAGACGAGCAGCGGGCAACCAATTACTGTTTAATTAGTTGTTTGTTTTGTTTTTGTTATTAGTTTTTTGTTTTTGCTTTAACATTTTACAATATTTTGAATATTTGTATTTGTTTTTCATTTAATTTGGTTTCTAAGTTTATTTTTTTTTTGTTTTTGTTGTTAATAATTCGTTTGTGTTTTTCAAAAAGTACCTTTTTAAGCCAAAAAGTCAGTCCAATAAGAGTTTTGAGTTGCCTGCAACTGCAGTTGATTTGTTTTAGAGCTTACGTGTTCTCTTTCCTTCAAAGTAATCTTTTCTTATTTAGTTCTCGAGTTGATTTGTTAATTGCTGGAGGAGTAGAAATGTGGTCCAAAGTTTGCCTCTTTATGGGTTTTGGTTGTTCTTTTAAGATCAAAGGTGTGTGTGTACGAAGAAACGAACGGGATTGATTTCAGGACGTTCAGGATCCGGGACGCTCACAAAATATGGATGTTGTTGCTGCTGCATTTGTAGTTGTTGTTGTTATTATTATTGTTGGTCGGAGGGATGTAGTTTGAGTAAGCAGCACCCACACACACACACACACACACACACACAGACATAAACACACTCAAAGTGTGGGGCGAAGCGTCCGGTCTACGTCCTAAAATCGCTCCCAAATCACTCCGATGAGTAGAGCTTGTTTTTGGTCAACGTGAAGTCGGGACTGATCATGATGGTATTGCTGCGCGTAAGATTTCTGAAAGAGCGAACCAATTAGAAAACATTCGACTCAATGACTGATTAAACGATTCGATATGAGCGACACACTAGTAATGGAAGTCGATAGCGGGCAACAGATAAAGCTTATTGATTTGTTATGTTGAGAGAATATTTAATCAATGAATTGAAGAATAAAAGAATTATATACTTGTATTAAATGTAAACAAACGAATATAGAAAATTAATCATAATAAAAAAACATTGCATTAATATTAAGGGAAAGTAATTAATAAAGTTTATAAATGAATGTTTATTGCAATTTACTTTAATTGCGAATGTCCTGCAATCTAGGACTAAGATGCTCTGCAGTCGCCCATTTCAAATGCTTTATAGAAACACACACACACACACACACACTTACTTGAGAAACTGTGGAAGCAATGAGGTCCAGCCGCTCTTGTCCTGCTTGAGTGTTAAGTAGAGCTCGAATATCGACACCGTGTCCGGATCGACCTTGAACGAGGCAATGTGTCGCGCATTGTTCGGCTCGCTCTCGAACTCAATGAAAATTGTGCTGGCGCGCTCACCGCACGGCTCCCGCTCGGACATGCGTATGATTTCGGCGGCAATGCGGTGCGTGAGATCAGCCGGCAGAGTCACCTCGGTGCAGGCCAAGTGGCGACTCTTGGCGGCGCGCAGCGTCGACTGCAGCAGGTTGGAGAGCTTGAGCACAGAAGTGGCGCTTACATCGTCCAGATTGTCTGCGGCACCGAAACGCGCTCCCGCCGTCGACTGCAGGGGCGAGGCGGGCAGCGACGGAATTGAGGACACCGGCTCAGGACCGGGGATCGACATCTGGGCGCTGGCCAGCACATTGCTCATGTAGGCATGGGGATGTTGATGGTGTGGATACGGAGTGGTTGTCGCACCCGAGCCGCCATTCACATGGGCTGGGCCAGCATCAAAGTTGGCCGTCACCATTGGCTGCGTCGCCTGCTTGGTGGGCATGGCAGGCGCCAGGGAACGCGTGTTGAGCGCTTGATGCTGACGCATGTGCAACACTGATGTTGGATGCCCATCCACAACGTCCACATTCACATTCAAGTTGACGTCCACATTCACATCCACGTCCACGTCAATGCCAACACCGGCACCAGCACGCACTTCCGTTGGCGTTGTCGGTTGTCCTCCAGCTGGTGCTCCCGTCGTGGCTGGTGCGGTTAATGGACTCGTCCAGTCTGCAAGAGAGGCGCAAGGCAGAAATGCAAAAATGCTTAGTCTTAATATTCATCGACCGGCAGACAAGGCAATGCTACGAAAATGAATGGCGAAAAGACAGATGAGACGAACAGCTGATTACTGCTTTGCAGCCGGCAGAACGCGTCGCGAAGCGACGCTCGCACTCAACGTTGGGCTTTTCACTCAACTAACAGACGGCTTGGCTCTGCGCAGGCTCGTCAAAATGCACTCAAAGCTTCCAAGGCGCGCGGCGGCACGAAATCACCTGGCAACAACAGCTGGAAAATCAGCCGTTCGATTGCCCATCCCCCGTCCAGAGTCGCTTCCATCATGTGTTCGTGTATGAAAGTGTTCAAATGTATGTACGTATGTATGTGTGCTTGTGTATGTGTGTGTGCATGCGTGCATGTTTTGTATTTCTGTTTCCAGCTGATGACGACGACGACGACACCGTCCTCCATTCTCCATCAGTCAGCCGTTTCTTTATCCACATTCTCTCCACCGAGCTTTAACAGAGCCCCCCAACCCGCCGAATGCTCTTACTTGTTTGTCTACCGTCGATTTTTCCGCCTTTGCTGACTGTTTTATTTCTTTTGCTGCCTTTCCCATACACAAACCTCTGTCGTTCGCACAGTGACAGGAAATGCATTCTCACTGCTCAAATATTTCATCATCTTTCGTCTCTATTTACTAGGCATACATACATACATATGTATGTATGTATTTCCAGAATATTTAGGAAATTTAAAAGTGAATTGAGATATACATATGTACATATAATAGCGGAATAAGGATTTGAATTGAAGATTCGATTTTGTTTAAAGTAAATCAAAATGTAAAACAGGAATCCAACCCAATTAATAAAATATTATCTTGTTGTACCACTGTGCGGCAATTGCTTTTAGGTTTTCTGTTTATGTTGCCGTGTTTCGTGGTACGTACAAACATACAATGTATACATACATACGTACGTATGTATGTACATTGTGGCATTCATATGTATATATGTACATATCTATCTATGTATGTATGTATGTATGTTTTTTTGCGATAAAAAGCGGTGAATTTTGTTGTTGGCATGCTTTGTAATACGAACAAATTAACTACTTGGCTTGTCTCGACGTCTTGTAATTAGCGCCCAAACACTTTGAATAGCCCTAAGACCCCCACCATTGCAATGTACATATGTATGTTGTATCCACAAGCACACATTGATACACACATACGTATACAGTATGTGCACACATCCCTACATACATACATATCTGAATGGGCTATGCAAGCAAACGCATACACACATATGTATGTACATATGTATACAAATGGTTGTGCACCTCCCTCTCTCTCGCTCTCCCTCTCTCCTTCTCTATCTCATTGAGTTTGTGTGTATGCTTTGCTACCTCGGCGAGTTTAAGCACGCGACGCACACCCGCGTAATTAAGAAATTAACGGCACATGTTTCTCACTGTGGTCTGCATAAATACATTCATACATACTTGTACATACATATGTATGTATGTATGTATGTATGTATGTACCTCCGACTGCCTATTAAGTTTTGTCAAGTGCTGTCCCCCGATCCTCTTACCAACATTCTAAAGGGTTCCTATAAAGTCAACAGCGAAAGCAATGGAGACAAAGACCAAACACATTTAATTACAGCACATAACATTTATACATCCGTATGTATGTATGTATGTATGTATATAAGTGTGCATACACAGACTACATGTCTTTGTATGTATTTGATTTTGGAAGAGACGAATAGACGTCTGCCTAATTGTCTGATTGTCTTGCCCATTGGTGGTTTGCAAACCCTACGACAGATCATGCGGCATTTGTGGTCGTGTATTTTGTGCATATCAAAGCAACCTTTCCTCTGCCCCCAACCCAAACCAGCCCAGCAGCAGAGCACAGGGCACACCCACTCCACCCCACAACATTCCATTTACCGATGCGCGCTGTTAGCATTAACCCGTTTCTACAAACACATCCACCGGCGGCGGCAAATGTTATGAAGTTCTTGTTTGCACTCACGCTCGAGTGTATATTGTAACTGCTGTTTCTGCTTTTGTTGTTGTTGTAGTTGTTGTAGCTGGCATTGGGAGAATCGCAAAGAGCTCAAGAACGACAAATACATAAAGGCAGACAGACAGGCGGACAGACAAGCCCGTCGACAGCATCGAATTCATCATGCTGGGGTTAGAATTGGAAAAATCAGGATGGGATTGCTGGCCTTGAGTTTTGATATTTGAATATCATACCGTTTTTCAGTATATAAATAATATGCATGTATGTACATACATACATACATATACGAAAATAACACAAACTAAAATGAATTTAAAATTTGATAAGACATTTGATTTAAGATAATAATGAAGTAAACGTATTTTCATTGAAATTGAAGCAATAAAATGCTCCAACTATTATTATTTCTATGGCATAAATGGAACGAGCGTCGTTTATTTAAGCTTCAAATATTCAAGTTTGATTCACTGTGCATATGTATGTATTTATGTACATATGTATGTATGTATGTATGAATGTATGTGTACCTGTACGACCATGTCTGTTTACATAAAATGCACATTTCTCATCTTTGCAGTTTATTCAACGATTTTCCTTTTTCTTTGCACACCAAACAATGTATTTATGTACATATCAGTATGCTATATATGTACGTACATGAACATACATAAATGTGTACATACATATGTATGTATATACACGTGCTTATATTTTTATTTGGGCTTCATTCTGTTCAGAGACAGACATGTTGTCGCGCTGGCATAACTGCTTCGCATTTTGCGAACAAAACGTCAGCTGTTTCCGTGGTGTAGCGGTTATCACATCTGCCTAACACGCAGAAGGCCCCCGGTTCGATCCCGGGCGGAAACAGACTTCGAATTTTTTTTTTAAAGTATTTTTTAATTATTTTTTTATTAAGTTGCAGATATTTTACAATAATATGGTTAGATCTTTGTATGCAGAGATATTTGAAAATAGCCTGATTTAATAATGTGACCAAGTAGCCCCAAAAATGTTTCGGCATGTAATAAAAGATAATGTTTTCCTTCATTAATTAAACCGCATGACATGCACACCAGTCAGCAATTAAAACTTTTGTACATCAATTATTGCTCATCCATACACCCATACAAATGTATATATGTACACACATACTCGTACATACTTGTACATACAAATAAGTACATGCATAAAATTATCTCCCTCATGGGAGTTACATTTTACAACACAGCTCCTACGACTAAGCTGGGAATTTACAGCAGCCAAGGAAGATGGAGTGAGGAAGGGAGGAGGCGAGATGGAGCACGGAAGGAGCGCATAACTAATGTTTATTCAAAGAAATTAAGTAATTAATTAAACAACATTATTGCCACTAACGTGGAGAGCAGCAGCAACGACACGACAACTTGCCGATGCAGAGCATATGAATACGCAAACAAATACACACACATACATATGTATATGTATACACACATATAAATCTACGTGGGTTTGGCGAGAGTGGCTGCGACTCTGTACGAGTGTGTGTGTGTGTGTGTGTGCTCGTATGTCCTTCGAAAATAAAATTGCATGTGCTCAGTCAGTCATGAAATTAAATTGACTGCAAATACGTTGCAGGCAGCCAGAACCAGAACCAGAGCCAGAGGCAGAGCCAGAGCAACAGCGACGGAGACGACGGCAGTGACAGCGACTGTGGCAGCGGTTTGGGCGCTAGCGAGGTGTGTGTGTGTGCGTGTGTGTGTGTGAGTGGTTTGGTGTGGTTGTCCATATCGCTGTGCCGACATGTTGTTGCATGTTAACGTGTACGTGAAGCTCGGACCGCCGCTTGTTATTTTCGCCTCTTTTGGCTGATTTCCCATTTTCATTTTACACGACGAAGCGACGTCTTGTTTATGCCTCCCCGAGCTACCAGTCGCCAGTTGCCAGCGCCCCCCAGCCACCAATTCCCAGTTGCCAGTCCCCAGCCCACGCCCCCAATTCCCAACTCATTCGCATTCGCATTGGCGTTGCTTAGTTTAAGGTTTAAAGTGACAGGATTAACAGGAAGTTGCATAATCCCCGTCAACATTTGTCTGCCAGACAAAGGCACAAACGAGCGAAGGAGCGGCAAAAGCCAAACAGGATATGTTCACTCGCACAGTGGCGCAAAACCGCTCAAAAAGTGCCCTGTACACACAAACAAACGTACATATGTATGTATGTATGTATGTATGTATCTATGGATGTATGTATATATTGCATATTTTATGCAAATTAGTAGATTGAGCTCTGCAAACAAAATAGAGAAACGGGCCGCGACTCGACATGTCATTATTATGCATATCCTTTATGTTTTTTGACGTTGGCGCGAATTTCGACAAATTTTATTTGTGAAGAAAACGTCCAAATGCCAATATTGGGCAGAGGGGTATACTCGTTCATACTATATATTTATATATATAGTATGTTTCAAATCAGCCTATTTGACTGTATGAACGCAAGAATATTGAATTTTTTGAGAGGCAGAGTCAACAAAATCGGATTAATAGGGCGCACATTTTCATTTAAGCTTCCCAGCGGATTCTAGGTTTCTTCAGTATTTCTGTACCCTCGCATAACTTATCAATTTATTTTTAACAAATTCGAATATTATGTTATTTTTCAACTTATATTTAATTTTTATGAACAATTTAATATTTAAGAAATTAGACCCCACATGCTATAGCTGGAATAAATTGTTCTTCTGAAGAATAGATGAGAAAACTGGCGAAGATTTTTCTTGGTATACGACATTAAATATTTAAAATAGTACTCAGTTATACAAGTATATTCATTTTACATAAAAATTTGTTTTTAGAAATGAACAATAACGTTTTTTATTAATGGCATGTGTAACATACTTGTAAACCTGCCTATTTCATATTTCGATCTTAAAATTTAATAATTCTCACTGGGAAATTGCTTCCTTCTTCATATAATTCATATATATGTATATATATGTATATTGTATGTATAGATTTTTGGTCTGATTTTGTCTTAACCTAAATTTTTCACTTACAAATGTACTTCTATATTCTCTGTTTTTTTTTTTTTTAACTTTGTGGGGCTATCTACATACATATGTATGTATGTATACCGAAAAAGAACAACTTCACGATATTCGTTTGTGCGCGTATCAAGAAATTAATTTTTAATGTTCGGAAAATTTGTTAAAGCCATAAAAAAAATATTTTCATACGCTATAAAATTCATTGAATTAAGAACTTAATAGCGCAAAGTGCGCGCAATAAACTTTGAGAAATTCTTCGTGCCCATTAAAATCGTGTTGTACAAATGTTTTGAGATGTATTTTAATGAATGCCACAACTGATTTGCATCAGATGGGCATTAAACATTTTGAATTGTTAATGTTTGGGGGATGGAAAAACTGATTCTTACGTTCGAGACACTTGGTAACAAAAAATGTTAATTATAAATTTATAAACGAAAATTCCTTGTCTTGTTTTTATGGAGTCTTAGTTGTAAGTCAATGCTGATTTACACTCTTGAGATATTAATGAAAGGGACTCGAAATTTGACTTTATTTAAATACGATTTCGAGGCTGAAAACATAATGTTTCTGGATATACTATATATCTTACTTGTATAGTTAAATTAAACTGGCACAGGAATAACTAATAACACCTTTCTTGTAACGCTATTAGAAACTAAACATGTTCGTATAATTTGCAAATACCAATGTTAGCAATGTGTGGAATCCAAAATGATAATGTATTAGATATTTTAAGGAGAAAATTTTAAATTGTACGATAAATGGATCGAATTGAGTTGTCAGCACATAATGAATGTCTAAAACAGTTTAACATATACTTGTATTTTGAAATAGAGCCCATCTAGGTGACGTCTAATTGGGGAAACCTCGGAACAAACATTTGGTTTCTGTCCAACAAAAAGCACTTGGAAAGGGATTTGGGAACTCACCTTTAACTTTTGTTCCACCAATAACACCGAATTGTCCCTGTATGTGATTTTGTACGGAGAGCACTTCCATCTTCATAGATGCGGGACAGCAGGGTCTTACACAGGTCGGTGCTCCTCCCGGTCCAGCAGTTGGCTTATCCCTCCGCTTAGGTGCTCCAATTGGAATAATATGCAGCGATTGTTGTCGCCGCTTTTCGTTGCCCTTTCTTGTGTATGATGATGTGAGTAGGCGTGTGTGCGTGTGTGTGTGTGTGTGTGTGTGTGTGGGTGTATGTAGTTAAATATACTTATTAGAAATGCACTTTAATCACAAGAATTTGATTTCGTTTTTATTTTGTGTGTGTTTGTTCTTTATTGTTGCTACGTTGATTTCATTTTACGTTACGGCGTTTTGTACGGCACACTTTCTGACTGGAGCTATGTTATTGCTGTTCTTGTTCTTGTTGTTGTTGTTGTTGCTGTTGTAGTAGTGTCTATTACGCCCACACCGACTTCGTTAACAAATAATTGGAAAAAAGTATCAACAACTAAATTTGTTATCCTAATTAAACATTTAAATTTTAATACATTCTATAGAATATAAAAAACGAAATTGCCGCCCGTCTAATTTTTCTGTCTGCCCGCCGCGCCGAGTGTATTGCAGCAAGAAAGCATAAAAAATCTATGTATTTGTATTAATTAAAGCACAGCACTTGGTTGATGTTGTTGTTGTTGTTGATTTGTTGTATTTTATTTTTGTGTGGTCGCATCGGACTCACTGATTTCAAGTTGGTTTAAGCTTTAAAGATAGCTAGCTGCCTCGAAAGGAAATTGCGGGCCTTTAAAAGTTCAGCAAGATTTCGATTTCTATGGCGAAACGGCGGTGTGCGAGTTTTTGGTGACTATCGGCTGTCGGCTGCTGCTACTACTGGCGTCGTTCCGTCTCCATTAGGGGCAGATGTGCTCCTTGCGGCGGCCGCTGCTTGACTGAATGCCCGGCTGTCTGTAGGGGGCCGCAGCTGTGGCCACAAAATTGAGTCAAATGTGCTTTTGGCTCAATGCTCAGCTGTAACAGACCAGGCCACATGCAAAGAGGTGCTCAGGGTGGCTGAGTGTGTGTGTGTGTGCTTGTGTGTACATACATATGTATTTGAGTGTGCTTTTCTGAGCTGTACAACTACAAAACTAGTTGGACGACGTCGGAGGCGTTAAGACGGACGACACAGCAACAAATACGGCCACTGAGGAGCTTGGGACGACAACAACGACGACGACGCTGCTTCAACCAGGCGGCAACAGCAACGGCAACGGCAACTTCTATGACAGCGCAATTTTCCAAAGCTACTATCCGGCCGGCAGTGTGCGCGGCCGCTTATATAGGAATTTTCCGCCACGGCAGAGGCAGCAGCAGCGGCAACAGCAGCGACTGCGGCACCTAAGCCAACGGCATTTGAGTGAGCGACTTTTCCCTTGGCCGTGAAACGGTCGTTGCCCATCAAGTGCGCATGTGCGTTCCTCTCGCTCCCCCTTGAGTGCTTTTCACACATATGTTTTCGTGCCACACCATCAGCTGTTGTTTCTCTTACCCACCGATTCACTCAAGAGAAAAGAGTGAGGTCTTTCAGCAAAAATTGAGTGCGACTGCTTGTAAGAGAGTACGTTTTAAAAGCGCTCAAGAGCAAGATTATGCAGCTAAAGCGCTCAACTCGTTCAAAGAGTAGCAAATGAGTAGGAACGTGAGTTCTTTGCAGAATGCACACACACACATTTATATACTTGGTACATACATACATATGTATGTGAATTTGTATACATTTAATTAATTAAATAGCTGTAATTACTTAGTAGTTAGTACATTTTATAATTTCTATACCAAATCAAACATTATATGTTAATGCTGAATCCAAATCGGACACACAAAAAAATATTTGACATTTTACGAATAATTTATAGATGTTGGAATTAAAATGAAATCTGTTCACACACAAGTTTGTTGCAGTGTAAAAAGACGGCACTATTGCCTAAATCAGTTGTTTTACTTTTATAAAGTTTTTGGCTTTTTAATTATTAAGACAAACTTTTTTAAGAATCTCGATTAATTTTAAAGTTTTTATTTATTGCAGCATTTCCTATGAACATAAATAATAAATTCGTCTTTGCTTAAATATAGTGAAATAAATTTTATAACTAACAAGTAATTGTATATACTTACGAGTAAGTGGGTATATAGTAGTTTTGGAAATTTACATATGTACATACAATCAGACATACATACATACATACATACATACATACAGACATACATACAGACATACATATGCAGTCGTAATTTATACTTTATTATTTGATATTAAAAGTCCATAAACAAGCAGATTATATATTCAGCCGTGAACACAGATACTATATAGTTTAGTACGGTCAGTCTGGATTTTAGAAAACGAATACCCTTCCCAAATGTGGAATTTAAGCCGAAATAATGAGAATGTTCTGTGCCTCTGGGCCACACGTTTCCCGATTATCCGACGAAATAATAGCTTGGGCTCAGGATAGTGCGACTTTAAAAAGGTTCTTCGTTTACCGACGTGTGTAGGGGTTGCGGGTGGGGATGGGGGTGGGGTCGGGGGTGGTTAGACGTGCGGCCTGCCCAAGATTACGCTCGTGGGAGGGGAAGAGAGGTAGTTGGCTGGAAGATAAGGGTGGGTAACAAGCAGGAAAAAAGCTCCAAATACTTGACACGGCTCGCCGGCTCCTGTCACTGTTTTAACAATTCATCTTAATACAAATCTTAATACAAGTAAAAAATGGCGTCGCTGGACAAGCGGCCGCCCGCCCCACCTCGGCCCGTTGCTTCCCGTTTGGCTATTTGTCACTATTTCGTTGGCAAGACGAGCTGACAGGCGGTGTGGGTGCTGTATAGTGCTGTCGACTGGATTATCCAGCGTGCCAGCGCAACTTTGGCCAAAGTATTTCGCTGCCATTGTTGTTGTGCCTCCTCCTGGTTGCTGCTGTTGTTGCTGCTGCTGCCACCAGTTCCTTGTTGTTGTGTTCGTTCTGTCACTGATGTGGGGATTTACACATGTCAGTTAATGCTAAAAAAATGTTTACACAACACAATTGCTGTTGTTTGCATAGAACGGCGATTGGGGGCAGTGGAGGGAATTGGCATTGGCGCCCAGCATGTGGCAAGTGACACGGGCAGTGGCAGCGGCAGTGGCAGTGGCAGTCGCAAAGCAACAAAACTTTCAAAGGCTGCCGTGTGTGTTTGCTCTGCCTTTTCCTTTTCCTTTTCCACTTTTTTCCTTTTTACTCGACGGCTGACGGCCGGGCCGGGCCGGGGAGTGGGGGCAAGCGCACAAACGTCGAACAGGATAAAAGTCAGCAAGATACAATTAATCAAATGCATGATTTATATTTCGTAGTCCGATACTGTACAGTTTTGACCTAAATACCTCCCGCCGAGCTGGTCAAAGGACATCTAAGGCCAGCAAAAACAACAATAACAATAACAGCTTATTTAGCTGACTGAGAAATAGGCTTTCCATCCCACTGGCAACACACTGTATTGGAGTTTTGGAGCTGTTGAGAACAAAGAAAGCATTAAACTGTCGCCGAAAAAAGGGCATGAATACAAACCTCCCCGTAAGTACATATAGTACATATGTATATAACTGATTTTTTATTACAATCGAAATTTAAAAAGTTTATTTTGCGACGCAGTAACTGGTAAGTTTATATTTTATCGGAACTTGCAACAATTGCACTTCCATATCCCTCTAAATATTCATTTTCAAATATCTATATTCTTTTTTACAAATAGTAATTCAAAGATTTGTTCTTGCATACCCTTCTTCAAAAGTCAAATTGTTGCTTTAATAAAATAAGTCCTTCTTTTTACCTATTACTTAATTGAAATCAGTGCCTTAGCTATGATATTTTTACCAGTATGTAGGTGTCATATACTCTACATACTTGCATTTAAATAACATATAATTTATAAAAATTAAAAAACTTGCATAGGTTAGTTTAGTATCAAGTTAGGTTTAAGTTATTAAGCTTTATGGGTTTTTTGTTTGTTTTATTTGTCCCGCTTTACACTGTCGATTGTTGTTAACCATTTTTATTTCTCCATTTTGTTTAATTAAGAAGAAAAGGCTAAGCTGCCTGTACTCTTAACATTAAGATATCCTTATCTCACTTGTTCATAATGTTTTTAAGAAATGTGAATAATTGGATTGATCAAAATTCAGAATATGTTGAAACTCTTCACACAACTATTAACTTAATATCTTAGAAACCACCACTTGGCTCTATGGGAGATACATGAAATAACGAGGTGGTTATAACATGGTTCGGTTCTTCCCAAATACTTATATTAACGATTGGACTTTCTAGTATAACTTTTGAATAGAGGGTATAAAAAGAGATTCTATTAATACATTGCATTTCTAACTTCACTTAATAAGGTGGACATAGAGACATAAGGCATAGAGGTGGGCAACTATTAAGTACAAAAAAGGTACAATAAATATTTTTCAAGCTATTCATTACTACATTTATTTAGTACTCTAACAGGTGCCCAGCAGCCTATTGGTTTGATGGTGAATTCTGACAGCTCCAGTCCTCCCTATTATGTGCTACCTTGCAGTGCTTGGCTTTAGTCAGCACCATCTGTTCAAACGATCCGATCGTTGAAAGGAAAGAAGGATGGGGTTAAATGGCGGCTACAACTTGAATCTAGTCAGCATTTGCACGTACGCACATTTACCGGAAATAACACACAAATGCACTTTAAAATGCGGAGCATCAAAAACGAATTTGTTTTTCAAGAAATTCCGCTAAAGTTCGTCATATGGCAAGCACTTAAGCTTGAGGAATCGCAATCGCAGTTCTGGTCCTGGTCCTAGTCCTAGTCCTAGTCGCAGCCCAAATCCCCTTCCCTTGTCCACAAAAAATTGCAAACAGAGGAAAACCATGGCAGTTACCTGATTTTGAGTTGGGAAACTATTATCAGAATGCTAACAGTGAAAAGAGGTTTCTTTTTCAAAAATGGGATACGAGTGAATGAGTCGGCGAATGGACCACTTAGTTGGGTGTTTGGTTGTGGGTGGCCTGGTCTGGATAATGTGATACCGGGGTGTGGGTGGATGTGCCAACTCAGTTGGGTCTCATTTTGTTTGCTTGTAATGCGCTGCACGTTTTCCCAATGAAACATCAACTCCAACAACAGCATCTGGGCACACAAGCCTTTGAGTTATCGAAACTTTGAACGACTCCTTCACAGTACCCAGCTCCGAGCTCCGAGGTCCGAGCTCCCACTCCCACTCCCAGTTGGTCGTAGTCGTGGTCGTTGTCGTTCGGGTTGCAAATTCTTCTAAGCAAATCCCATGAACATCGATTTTCATGTGATTTGTGTAGACGTGTTTGGTTTTTATTGATTTTCACTTGATTCCCTCCATATGCTTAAATATACTTAAGCCAGTACGTGCGCCTTCTGCGAGGCAATGAGTGTGTGTGTCTCTCTGTGTGTATGTGTGTGTGTGTCTCTGTGTGTGTGTGTGTGTGTGTGTGTGTGTGAGTTACTTGCCATTCCATCTCATACGCCCTGGGGGAGGTATTCGGGGCGGTCGCTGAGTAAATGCCTGCGCTCCAGCTCTAATGTCAGGATCATGCAAGGCTATCAGCATAATTTCCACTCCCACTCGTGCCGCCCACAGAAACCTCATACTCCTAGTTTATGATGCAGTATATTTTTTGTGGACGCGTCGACGTCGCGGTCGCTATCGACGATGTCGATGCTGCTGACGATGACGATGATGATGATGATGGCTGCGTGTGCGGTTTGATAAGGTCGGCAGTGGGAGTATTTCTATGCCCCTTACCCACCCAGAGTTAGGCTCAATTTCATTCGGTTAGCTGCGGAGAGCAGTGCCCCTGGGTGTGTTTAGGCCTTGACAGCTTAAAGTAGCAGTAGTCGCGAGTTCCAGTCCCCCCCCCCATAGTTGATGAAACAAAGTGTTCGCCTAATGCAGTTCTACTATACGTTCAGGGTCTAAAAATTACGCGAGGTTTCTTTAGTACCCAGTTATGAAAGGGCTATGGTTACACTGGCAAAACATTTGCACACAAATTTGTCAAATTGTTCAAGACTAAAAACAGGGCCCTGTCGATCTTCCTAACTATTTTGAGCTTCAAAGAGGTGCGCGGCGGTTCAGGCTTACATTTTCAATTCCATTTTTGGAGGAACAAAGCAAAAGTAATATATGGGGAATATTTCATTTAAAACCTTTGCCATTTGGTGGTACGTAATGGGTTGCTTTTTACACTTATTTTATACGTATTAATATTGAATTCGAAAAAGTAAAATATTACAATACAATTCTTCTGAATACCTGTTGATTGAGAATACACGGTTTGAAAATAAAAATGTTATATATGGTTACACGACTTTATTCCATTTAGCACGATTCAAAATAATACAAAATAAATGTTTTTATTAATTTACACAGCTGACTAACAGCTAGAAAGCATTCCTATATGGGTCGTTATGCACATTTTAATAAAATAAACATAAATCCTTGTCTTGTCAGCTTTTTTGCATATGATCAATACCTTTTTTTACACGGTTTTTGTAACACGGTTTTTTCTGGAACCAATATACCGGGTACAAACCAAATTAGGTGTATATTTCTTTAAGTTCAAGCTGTTTCTAACGTCGAATTAACCGCTTTAAGACCCGTTAACGCGTAATGGAAACGCATGGCCCGAGCGATCTATTCGGATCCGCTTTAGTTCGAGAGATACAGCCGGAACGCCCACTATGGACCGACCCAACGTCGTCGATTGTATTCGCCTCGTCGTGCACGTGGCGGCCACCACACACCTCAGCATTGCCATTTACTACGATTACAACTTCGCGATCCTTCCCAAGCTGGCTATGGATCTGCAGTTGGAGCCGCCATATGGAGGGAAATTCAAGTACTTGACATTCATCTGCGGTATCATTCAGACGTCCTATTACACACTGGCGCTGGCTTACGATGTTGTAGGGGGGCGGAGGATACGCCGCCTACGAGACTATCTGTTGGCCACCTACGTCGTGCCCCTGGCGCTGACCGTGAGCTTTACCTTCTGGACCCTGTACAGCATAGATCGTGAGGGGATTTATCCGAAGGTGCTGGACCTCGTCTATCCAAACTGGCTGAATCAGGCCATGCACACATACGTCGTTATATACGGTGTGGCCGAGCTGTGCGTGACACGCCATATATATCCCAGTCGTCGACACGGGTTTGCGGGGCTGGCCATGTTCATGGTCTGGTATTTGGGATGGCTGCACCTGCTCTGGTATCGCACAGGCATTTGGGTCTATCCTTTCTTGGGCGCCCTCTCCTGGTATGTGCGGATCCTTTTCTTTGCGATTATTATCGGCCTCGCCTTTGTGTACTATATGCTCGGGCAGTATCTGAACTATGTGCTATGGGTTCGACCGAAAGGGGAACGGAATGTACCTCCCAGAATTGTTAGCTATAGGTAGTCCATATATGGAGGCGTAGTTGAGTAATATGAAATATATTAATTTTGATAAAGATTGCAAAACATTATATTTTTGTTGTTCGTCGCGGAAACATCTGACGAAATGGAATATTAAGTTGTGATTTCTTCACTTACAGTTGCAAATCACCCGATTATTGGGGATCTAATTAGGAATTAAACAGCCAGGGAACTGCTGGTCATGAACATTGACAGCTATTCTTGGGCGCATACTTTCCAAGCTAGGAGCGCAGGAGAAGAATCTCCAGCCAAACTAGTGTCCCTCTTTCCCAGGTCGTCAAAAGTGGTTTTTTGAACGAACCCCGAAGGGTTATTAAGTAGAATAGAAGGCGGTTTCTTCGCTACTCATTTCGCCCAGTCCTTATGGTTGGTCGTGGCTAGCGACTTACACCCGATTCTGAATGAATTAGCTAAATGGACGATTGAGCGAACTAAAGGAACGAACTGAGTGTACGAATAATGGAGCTGATCCATAGTATAGTGGACTGCAACCAACAGCGCTCATATCGCTGAAAATCCAATTGGGAATTATTGTGTGAAGTAATAAAAAATCAGTGAAGGCGGGGAAGCCCCCGAGATGGCTTTTTATCTACCTTCTTCAATATCAAAACTCTTATATAACTTCATTGGATATTATTTATTCCTATTGAAATGATATTTTTGGAATTATTGAATTATTTTTTGGATTTGGCCAATCTCGATTAGATATGACTTAGACACACTTGAAATTAAATGAGATTAGAGATTATTTGGGATTATTATTTATCCAAGCTTTGACATTTATTGTTCAATGGCCTCAAGGGTGAAGTAATATGAATTAACAAATGTAAATCCGACGATGTTAATTACTGAAATGTGTAAACGCGTTTCAAATAGTATTACAATAAATAGCAACAACAATTAACAATCTTAACTTACCGGCAAGGAGCAGGTAAAATGGTATATGGAGGTGTTTCTTACTCCCAGAATACCTCTTACCAGGTCCGCTTTTATCTGCTAAAAAAAATAAAAAAATTGTACCAAATATCACCATAAAAAGTGAAGTGCTCCCAAAAATGACTAAGAAAATAAATATGTTCCGCGGCCGTTCCTGAAACATAAGAGTTTTGATTTATAAAGCGGCTCTCATTCAGGGTTTCAGACAAATACTGAAAGCAGACATATCGTGTATACCTTTAGGATGCCAATAATTAGGATTATAGTAACGATCAAGGTAATGGGCGCCAAAATCATTAAAACTATGTCCATGGCGTTCAATTTCATTGCGGTGTCTGTAAATAAAAGTACGTGATTATTTGTGGATCGACAATTAACACTGCAATTTGGTGGCACAGTAACCAGATATTTCGCTAATGGCTTCATCGTAATGCTTCTAAAGTTGTGTCTACCGTAGTGCAAGGCCATAAGAGATATACCGACAGTATCTGTGTGAAGGGAATTAATATTACCAAAACGACTTCCAGGCGTATATGTAATCGAATGATTCCTGCCAACTAAAATAAAAAGAACGTATTTTGGTGAGAACAGACAGAGAGAAATACACCAAATAATACCGATAAGAGCATGGACGATGTCCGCCACATATAATGCAAAAAGTCCTACATATATAAGTTGATAAATGGCGAATGCCAAGCATCCATTTTTCAGACTGCAACAATGAAAGTTCCATTTAAAATCCAACATTCTTAGAACGCGAGTACACATCCTCCAGATAAGAACAGCTTTTAGTTGCTTCAGAAAATTGACCAATAAATATTTTCAAACAATTTGAACTATATACTATATTCATGGACCTACTTCGATCTCCTTATCTGTAGATAAATAAATCTAAAAGTGTTATATAGTTTTGATTTATACCTGGGGGTTGCGCATTATATTTTTGTTGTTTTGAAAGTTAACCAAATTAGATATATGTGTGATAATAATCGTACACTATAAATATATGCTTTTTTTAAGGGGCAGAGTTTTCGAGGCGGCAATATTATCTAACGGATCTCTTTCCAACATTTTTTGAAATCACAGTAATGTGAAAGATTCCAAAGTGCTTTAACAGTTACTGCCTGTTAATTTAGAGTTCAAACATTATTACAATTACAGATCTAATCAGTTCACAATCACCAAAATTATTTCTTAGGAGATAATAAACAGCTTTTATAGTCATTCATCATGAAGCATTGTCCTTGAGGACAATTCCCTCGATATATAACCACAATTCTCAAATACTTGCAACGCGCTAAGAATTGAACGTTAATAAATCACATCAAAAGTATTTAACTTGATACCAATTTCAAAAGCGCGAAGTCCATGTTGTAGGGTGACTGATATTCTAAGAGGAGGGGGTTAAGCTATAATCGCGGTACAAGGACAGCCGAAATTGATGAGAAGCACGACATAAGCGAAGGACATGCTCCCATAATAATCGCATAATTCGATTCTTTTTTCGCTCCTCGCTCTTCCTAACAACTGTTTTCATTCATTTACTTGGAAATTTGATGATGTATAGTTTTGAAACTACAGTTCAGTAGTTTCTTATCCGGAACTCAAAATGAAAATGAAAGCAAATGCGCAATTCTAGTGAAAACATTTGATTTAGTCTGCGATTTCGTTACGTGCCTGCACTTTCGAATTTTAATGTGTTATCATGTATTTTCATTTTTGAATATGTATTTTTGAATATGTATCGATTTGTTGATTTATTAAATAAAATAAAATTACTAAAATAAGAGCATATTCTTTAAAAAACTTAATTAATAATAATTAATCGTCACAAGCATCATGACAGAACGCATGATGGAACAAATCCAATGCTACCATTTAATTTAATAATTGTCCTCCTTAGAACAGATCTTAAATAAAGAATGAAGATTTAAAAAAAATAATAATAATTAATATTAACACATACTACTATTATTTTTATTGTAGGTGCGATATCTCAAATCGCATCCAAGCAGCTTGCCAAAATATTATTAAATTATTACAAAAAATTATATATTCATTAAATATTATTAAATCTTTCAATTCATAATCGCATTAATAACATACTTGAATAAAAATATATATTAATATATTACTTGTGTGGCAAAAATTGCGAAACACACCTTAAGCGAGCTTTGGTTTTCCTAGAGACTAGAACTTTAAAAAAATGCAATATCGGCTACGGTAAGCAACGAACCGTTCCTGTTTGAATTCAATGGGAAAGAGCGTCGGCCAATATACATATGTACTATATATATGTAAGTATATATTTATATATATTTTTGGCTCATCTTCCTTGACAGATGATTCATGTTATTGGTCCCTGGTCTGGGCCTGGGACGACAACGAGGACCAAATACTTTTCAGCTGTTGATTTATGTCGGCAGGCAAGCGTCTCGAACTGAAATGGGCAGCCAAGCCATACCGAGCCCCATATCGAGCAAGATATGAAATTGTCAATATTTGATGCTGCCATCAATTTGGCGCGACATGGCAGGGCAATTGAAATGCCTGCTGCTGCCATTTTTGTTAGGGAGTCGTTGCTTGCTGCCTGACTGACTAACTGACTGACTGACTGACTAACTGACTAACTTGTTGGCTGGGTGGCTGGCTGGCTGGCGAGTCTCCAGTGGGGCGAGCATTTTTTCGTCATTCGTTTCAGCTGACATTTGACATGATTATATACATTTGTTGTGCGATCCCTACCCCTAAGCCAACCAGCTGAGCGCCGCCGTACATGCTGGCGGAATTTACATGGCAAGACACGAAGCACCCCAGCACCCCAGCACCAAACAGCAAACAGCAAACAGGAAAGCACCAGGACACCCATCATCCCACTGGCTACTGCAGGCGGCCTACAACGCCCCAACGGCCCCAACAGCCCCAACAGCCCCAACTCTAATCTTCCAGCGGTTTTTGTGCTTTGTGTTTACCTCGAACATTTTGCACTTTCCTTCTTTTGAAGTGAGTGCTGCTCCTTAGCGTGGCTTTCATTCACACTTCCTTTTTCGTGTTATACACACACAAAACACACACACACACACACACACACACACACACATACTCGAAATTCTGGAAGCAAGTGCACGTGTTTCCCTTTACGAGTGCTTTGCATGCTGGCTGGCAGGCAGAAGTGTCCTTACAAAATTTTTTACTTTGTAACGCAAATTCTGAAGCAAGCATGAATAATGCATGCATTGTGTGTAATTCTTCAAGTACTTTGCCATGCCCATGCCCATGCCCCTACCCCTACCTCTACCCCTAGCCATGCCAGGGTGACGACAAGCACACATCGTGGTTTCGCGCCCACCCCCACCCCCACGCCCTGCGCCTCCCCCATTTACATACTTAGGTTAGTCAACCTATTTATATTTCCCTCGTTCGCAACTTTTCTGTGAATGTATGCCTGTTTGTTTGTATGTTTGTGTGCTTGTGTGGGTGTGTTTGTCGCTGGTGTCGAAATTTATTGCGCGCTTTTTTGAATTACAAATTTATTTTAATACACGAAAAAAGAAAATACAAAATATTCAAATAAGTCGGGCCTCGTTTTGGTTTTGCCAAGCCAAACAATGCGTGAATCCTAAAAGATGTTTCCCATCTGGGGATGCTTCAGCAATCTACAGAATAAGTAATCCCGCCCAAGCGGAGCTCAGACATAAGGGAACGCTCCTTAAGTCGTTTTCAATCTAACAACATACATATGCTGCGATACATGCTGATATCAAAGTCATCCAAAGAATCATCATCATTTCGTTAGCTTCGGACCTCCAGTTTTGTTCAGCGAGGCTCTTTGGTTCATAATCATTAACCAACTATATAACTAGATAAAGTTTTGACTCCAATATACAGCATTTCAAAAGAGGAACTTCAAATAATATGGTCGCTGTTATTAGAGAATGTCCTACCAAATAGATAGCATCGCGTGCGAGGATAACATATTTTCGACCAGCGGGATGAAAATAATAAATTCATTTATTTTTGCAGAAATGATTAGGAAGATGAAGACTCAGGGTGTAGTAGTAATAGGCGTAGAACTCGTTCTAGAAATACTTGTTTGCCATAATTTTCTTCTTATTTAATCCATTGTTTTGAACTTTAACTAAATACAATTAAAGAATGAAAAGCCGAGACGCTATCAGACCTAACAAAAAAGAAATGCAGATGAAGAAACAGCAATGAGAAACAAAGACGAAGTACGATAATCGTAAAACTAAAACTAACAAATATAGTTAAATAATAAAAGATAATTAAAAGCTAAAGAGTGGACAATCACTGACCCGATGGGGGAAGGTCTATTAGCCAGAGATAATTGGTTTGTTTTTGCATTTCCCATCTATTATAAATGTCGCAGGATTGTGCTTCAATTATGGGGAATATTTCATTGTTATTCGTAGCACTTACAGTGTCCATGGCAAGTCCCCTTCTTATCGCCGCACTTAATCGGTAAGATAAATTACAGCAATTTGTATAACTAATAAAGAGTGTTCAAAAATTCAATCGATACTAACTATAAAATGCAGGACAATATGCACAAAGCTTTGACAACAGTGATGACTTCAACGCCCAGCTAATAGAGCTGTGTCCATCCATAACAATGACTCATGGAAGGGCACGGAACGGAGTCCATTTCGGACTGAGTTGTCAATAGGTACTTAGTTTGTCAGGTTCCCACAATCCCGCAATCAAGTCGGTGCGGGAGTCTCATCGTTCCGATTTAATGGAGCTCGAGTAAACAACCATCGCATTAACATCGCAGCTACAAACTATGACGGGAACATAATAAATGATTGGGTCAGCAGGCAACTCGACAAGTAACTAAACTCATGTACTGCATACACACTCGTACATAGATGGAGGGATATTTAGATTTGTGGAAAAATGTAATGCACATGCGTACGTGAAATGTGATGATAAATGTGTAGTACATCGATTAATATCACAGACGTCTATCCTAGCAGAATAAAAACTTGTTCAACAAAGTTCCATGGAAGAGAGATTTACGTTGAAAATACTCCATCGAAGCAAACAGAAATATGTGTACTTGGAGATGCGATTATATATTATATATCTTATATATATATATACATTTACATGCCTGTACCAGAAGAATAAAGTTTATAATGGCGTATATATATTTTTAATCAGCATGACGATCCGAATGGATATAACCACTTTCGTCTGTCCGGATGAACACTTGGATTTAGGAGACGGTTGAGCCCACACTCAGCAAATTGCAGACTCTTCTTATATTCAGGCAACACCAGTTTTCTGACTAGTACATTAATTTATAAAAAGTTTTCTGGTCGTACTAGGAACTAATAAACAAACAAATAAATTAATTAAAAAAGGGACATTCATTTTTTTGATTTTCTCTCCTCAGCCCCGCTACAGAATTTCGTCAATACTATCAACATTTCAAAAGCTACATAAGCTATATTTTGCACTCATAATCTATAAACAATTACCGATCTTTTTCATCCCAATCGGTTGAGCAGCAAGCTTGCTCTTCTTCGTTTTTCTTTGTAGGTTCTTCTGGGGTATTTAAAATAAAATGGGGATGGTGAAGCAAGAAATAGCTTTAGTCCGACCATGTATCGAAACAAGTTCGATTTCAAATGGTATCTGTTTTTTACTTGATATTTGTATCTACAAGTCTTCTTTTGCCGCTTGACACTTTAGTTCCTTATTTTGAATTTAGAACTTTGTGAAAATGTATCAAAATTTATACAAGTCCCTTTGTGTATTCAGCGCTATTATGGGGCTGTGTATAAAAAGTGTGGACTCACACGAAACCGTCGACTGCGGGCCCTGTCAGGAGCTTAACGATTGGTGCAAAGTAGGGCCCAATACCCCCTATGGATACGCTTGTGAAAGTCATGTAGAAAACGATCATGGTATTGTTAAGAACGACAAAGGCGGCGTCGCGGACAAACTTCTAGCCCAATGTGTACCAGAAGAGGTTAAAGTTGGTAGGTGGCTGAAGATGCTTATCAAAAGGACTAAACCCCTTAGTCTTTTACTTCCGTACATCCAGTAAACATCAATACAACTTGCTGCACATGGTCCCCAAAAATTGGCTGTCACATGATCAAATCGAGGAAGACTGTCTACCCATACGATAAATGGGTAGACATTTGCTGGCAATGCGCAGAAACCTGTCCGTGCACAAACGAGGATCCGAGGAATTCTCTGGCACATATGAATAACGCATTAATCGGAGGGTTACTTTCGATCGTATCGGTATTACATATCTGGCATACCTGCTGGCAATCTGTTTAGCACACGGACACAAAACAGTTCAGTTCTGGAAAGCACGGAAAGCTATTGAAATCTGTAGCGTTTTAAAGTACAGGACATGCGTAGCATTGGGGCATATAAATGATATTAATATAGTCGGCATAGTCTTTCACAAAAATGTATCGTAAATACTTAAAAAGGTTTTATTAAAATTTGAATAGTTAAATCCTGAGTTCTTCTGTCGGCCAGAACAAAGCATTTGATTACAAATATTATACTTGTAATTGCAATCTTTTGACAGCTACGTATGGTTTCAGGTTGTTTGGGAGATATAAATTTTTTAAAAGGTGCCTACGAGCACAGGCGGCTAATCTTCCCTTCATCCATCGAATAATGTTCAGCTTAATAGTTATATTTAAGGGAAATTGTGGCCCTTATCGGAATTTGACTTTGTCATTTATGCAACCATTAGTCGAAGCGAAGAAAGTTAATTCACCAAATGTTCCGACCCTGGGACCCCAGCAGTCGTTCCCCTGCCAAATAAATAAATAAATACAAAAAATCAGGACGAACTCATCAGGCGGGAACAGTGAAAATGCAAACTCTGAATAGTTTTTAGCTTTTCACTTTTTCTTTTCAATTTAAGCAAAGAAGTTAAACAAGAGAGCCACACAAAAAAAGAAAGCAAAGGAAAATATATAGGAACCCACACACACACACACACACACACAAACACACACACACACACACACACACACACACACACACACACACACACACACACAAACACACACACAAAATGAACAAGAAAAAGTAGCCGTGGTGCGTGGTCGTTAATGGCTTTGGCAAAACTTATGAAACAAACTACATGGGTCCTGTCCAGTGAGCGACCTGAGCGTCAAAGTCGCTGACAAGCTATGCGGGCTACCGAGGACGCTGAGGGCACATGCATATATACATACATACTGGCACACAGGCGTAGCGTAATGTCACGTACTTTCGCTTTCTGCTTTCACTCGCCACAAGCGTCGACCCCAACCCCAGCCCCAACTACGGCCCTACCCCAGCCCCCAGCCACTAAGTCAGAGCCTTCTTTCAGGCATGCCAAATGGGCATTGCTCAGCATCTATGCGTTGTCCTTCGACAACGAACCTATTCAAAGCTTTCATGCGTTTGAATTCTATTAGCTCGAGAAAGGATTTTCTGTGCTTTTGCCGTATCGGCTAGTTGGAGTGGGGGAGTTGAATGGGCGCTGCTGCTATAAGCATTTTTGACGCCTGCCCGACTCCTTCTGCTGCTCAGCTCTGCTCCTGTAAGGTTTGTCATTTACCCGGGGGTGTATTTTCTTCATTTTCATTTCTCGGCATTGCCTGGCCTCCCCGTACTCCTCGTACTCCTCATCGCCGTCACTCATACTATTACTGTTGCCGTTGTCGTTGCCGTTGCCGTTGCGATTACTGTTGCCGTTGCTGTTGCTGTTGCTATTGCGCTGTGCACATCCAATTGACATTTCAGCTTAAGTCATTGTATAAGCCAACAACAAAAGGAACGCTACAATGCGGAAAGCCCTGGCAGGACAAGTAGCAAGTAGCAAGTAGAAAGTATAGAGCTGAAGCTGTTCGCCGTTTGCATTCATGCCGTCACTCATTCACTCATTCATTCAAGCAGCCAACCGACACTGAGACACACCGGACAGCCCCATCCCACAGCCACATCCCAAAAGCCCAACAGCCAGCTACCCAGCTACCCATTCAGGCAGTTTCGGTTCGCTCGGTGTCGTTGTACATTTATTCTGCTCGCTATGCTAAAAACAAAGCCCAGGGAAGGAAGTAAAGTGCAAAAGCTGCAACAGTCACAAAGAAAGGCGCTCACAACATCCATGCGAGGCATACAGAGCATGCCGGGGTGGCAGAGTTCGACGATTTCGGGATGGTGAGCTGGTGTTTATATATAAACATGTCGACAGATCTACAGATAGGAGCACCACTGTGTGGGAGGATTTATTTAGTATGCGCCTCCATGTCAGTGAAATGAAAGCATATGACAGGGTTTAAAACAAACAAGAACCCGTTACTCGATCCCCTTATTACCGATTTCATGCAAAATAAGTCCCAAATCAGTCTGAATCAGTCCATATTCTAGATTCTATAAAGAGGCGAAAAACTTTGCTTTTCATCTTTCTACTTTTTACGAAATGTTAGCACCTTTCCGGGCTACCATCTGTTTTAGTTCAAGACATGAGTGTAACTAGGTTCCATCGCCATCGACTCCTTTTACTTAAAGGCTGCTTTTAAAAGCAGGACTTATACTTCAAATTTCATCCTCTACCCTATCTGCAGGTCGACTCTGAATTCAGGCTCCATTTTTCCGATTCACGGTCAGCATTCAACACGTTTTATAAATTTGACCGGAATGGCCGAATTTATATTTAACTTTAATAGCTTATTCAGGCTCTTGTGTTGATATACTTATGTGTTTGTCTTAGCTTTTGTCTTACATCCATCCTGTCACTTATTACCGCTTCTTCCACATCGACTACAACTTTATTTCAATCCCATTTCAGCAACTCGAGAGCGAATGCAAGCGCAGAGCCAGGGGCAGAGGCAGAGTCAGAAATACAGCTGTATTTTAAGAATGTGGCCGAGATACCAGCAGCAACTGTCGCCAGGAACAACGCAAAGACACAAAATGAAGGCAATATCTCAAATGTGAACCACATAAACGAAATAATAAATACCAAATGATTCCATAATGAATGTCAGCAGACATTTCTGTCGAACGACAACGTTGGGGGAGCGGGCCACAAGGACCAATGGAGAAGCAATGGCGTTTCTTTCATTACAAAAATTGCGAAGCCAAAATGAAAAAAATTTCTTAATTTCGTTTCATTTCATCAGCAGCAACAACGACAAGATTTACAACATACTGTGAACATAAAGTAAAAATCTTGTTTTATTTTATTTTTTTCTTCTTCTTTTGCCCTTGCTCTTGCGAAATGCGGGCGAGCAGCAACCGAAATAAATAGATAAAAAAAAGAACGCTAAGGAATAGAATGAATAAAAATACTCAAACGTACAAAAGGCAGCGCCCAACTGACAATGGCTCGCCTGCCTAGGAGGATGGGCGATGGGGATGGCGATGACAGCGTAAATAGTTAGGGGTAGGGGTGCGTCTTGGTGTGGAGCAGGACCTCGGCAATTGGAACGCATATTTCTGCGAATGCAATAAAACGCACATGTGTTCTGTCGTATCCACGACAGCGAACTCGTCGTCATAATTTCGGTGTGGTTGGCAAATAAATTTGATTTTCAGAGAAATGCTCAAGATTGACTGACACAGTGTACGAGTATGTGGTGGGGTGGACCTGGAGTCTTTGATAGATGCGAATTGTAGTCAAGTAGCGGGTAGCTACGGCAACACACAAACACACACCCACACAGCAATTCATGCGAGAGCATTGCTTTTGCTGAGCTTTGCCATTTCCGGCACTTGTTCCTGGGTCCCACCCAAGTTGTGCATTGACCTACGAAGGAACTGCAAACCCACACAATAGAGAATTCAACCGGTATTGAAGTAATATTAATTCCTTCACACATACACAAATATTAGATGCGGTACTTACTAAGGCGATGTCAACAAAAATCGGATCCCTCTACAGATACACAATAAGTGAATTAAATAATTGAAAGCCCCTCCTCCTGCATGGCTGGTAGTCCGATTCCTTCAAGCTCAGAGTCTTTCTCATTCGAGAAAAACATAAGAAGATCTGTTAGTGAAAAGAATAACTATTGTATTTATATAAATAGTATATGAATAAACGTAGGTACAGAATGAAGACAAGCAAATAATGTTTCTGACTTTTTTAAAGCATACTTTTAGGCAAAAATAAGGCTTTGTACAGAAAAACCAGGAAAAACTATATCATAGAGCCTTACTTACCTTACTTTCGACATTGTTATATTTGGAATTCGCAGCCGTACATATCTCCTTTGCTTAAAACTGATTCAATGTAATATCTGATAGGTATAAGTATAGGTATACTGGTGCAGGAAATTGCTTAGACTAGCCAGAATAATATATATGCGTAACCATTGGCACTACAGATTTAAAGTTTTTCAAAAGTATAGAAACTTAAACGCATTACGTTCATACTCCCCAAAGTGTTTTGTTTTGTCTGATGTCTTGGCCTGGCACATAAGTCCGCATATCAATAAGTTATCCTAACAATTCTAAATATCAATAGTTTTTCCTCAAAGGCACATACAAATATCTTAAAGTAAAAGAAAAACAGAGAAGCGCAAAAAAAAGAAGGGAAATGGTAAAAGCGGTCTCTGATTAAAGAATCACAGGACATCGGCATGCGGAGCGGAAACACAGAGGACAAACATGCCATAGTCAAAGGACAAATGTCAAAGTGAGGACGGAGACTCTCTGAGGTGTTGCCCACAGGAAAAGCTCAAAATCAGCAGAAAAATGGGGAGTGCAACCAACTACACATTTAGTGTTTATTTCGCATTTATTGGGGGGCAGAACGACACACTGGGGTAGGATGGGTGAGAAATGAAATCCGCAAGAAGTAAATGTGGTCGTCTGTCGCCGTCGTCGTCGCCTTTGCCTTTGCCTGCTCTGCCGCCATTCCCATCCCCATCCCGCCCACACACACACACACACACACACACGCATGGTGCATATACTCGTACATAATATATAAATTGTTTTCAAGTCATTGAACACCCAGCCACAGAAATACGAAAATGAAATTAAGTACTATACAACAAAAATGAACTAAGCCCAAAAGTCATATGACGTTGATGATGATGATGAGAAACATCCACATCGGGGACGGCAGTCAATAAATGTTTGCTTGAATAAATGAATGGTTGAATAAATGAGAGAAGGTTGGCAGCGGTCTAAGCAATGAATGAATTACTGTCCAAGTGACTGTTTGACTGCTTGACTGCATGAGCTGCGCGAATCGAATCGTGACGCAATGCTTTCAAAATCAAAATTCCCAAATACCGTAGACGTTTGTTACCATTCCCAGTATTTGCCCAATTGGCTTCTGCGTCCATATTTTCTATCCATAGTCAAAAGACTGTAGTTATAGTAATTGCTGCCCCATTCATAAATACGTCACGGCTTTAAACTTAAGAGTCTTATCATATATACTTACACATTTATATATATCCTTTAGTATTGACTGTGACATATTTTTAGGGGATAATCCAAGCACTCATATTCTCATTCACTATCTGACGTGCCATTTCAGCTTGTTTTGGAGTTTTCTCAAGACAGCCTATACTGATCTGTAAGGAATCCAATTATAGTCAAGATAAATACCAGAGACCGTAATCATTTTAAGTGTTATTACAAATATTACAAAATATTGTTTTTTTTTTTTAATTTTATTCATTCGCTCACAACTTTTGAGTTTTACTTTACAAATTAACTAATAATCATTATTTTTGAGCAAAAAAAATTAAATTAAAGTAAAACTCAAAATTAATCATTAAATTTAGAGAAAATGAATAAAAATTAAATTCACTTTCTCAATGTTACTATTACTGTATGATTTTAACGTTTAAAAACAAAAATAATCATTATTTGCGGGTCCTGATAAATATTACTGAAATTTTGTAATTACTGAACCTTTTATTAGTTTTAGTTGCTATGTTTCTAGTATGTTTCACACACACTAGCCTTCAAATTCTTACTGGATTTATAATGCTATTTCGTCCGCTACCTCGTTTATGGTGGCCTAATCTATGGTCACCCTTTCCTAGTTTTGTTAATAGAACTACATGGAACGGAGTCATTTTTTATTAGTATGAAGATTTGCCAAGAATGAAAATATGAATACCGCCGATCTTGAGATCTACTTAGGACATCAAACAAGTCTGCTTATCGGTTGCTTGTTTAACTTTCAACCAAATATCATTAGTCTTGTGCCTAAATTGTATGTTGTGGACCGAAAGTTGCAATAAAAGTCGATTTTGTTGCTCTCGCTCTTAAGTCCGCCCATTTGAACTAATACATATTTATTTATGTTGCCTGGCATTTAAATAAAGTGTTTGCACTTAATAAACCCATTTGGCTGAGCACTTTGTCAGCCTGGATTGGCACTGAGTTGGGGCTGAGGAGGCTGGGTGTCTCAGTCCCGGGCGCCTGGTTGGCACATTTTGCGAATTCAACTGTTTCCGTTTGTGCTTAGCGCCTCGCACCCGCTGCTACAACCATCAGACGAGTCCGACCGACACCGCCACCACCACCACCACCACCCATCCACATAAGCATCACCAACACCATCATCGCAAATACAAACGCAGCCGGGCCCGAAACCCATGGCCAGGCATCTCTCACACGCATTTTACTGTTATTTCAGCATTAAAAGTTCATTGAGTGGCAAAGGAAGTGAAAACAATTATCTGCAGGAAGGTAAAACATAAATCCTCGAATCCAAAAGTAAATTGCAAATTTCGTTTATTACTTTCTATGTCACAGCGAGCAACCCCCGGCGGTACTGGGTACTGATTCTGGGAACATCACCACCACCCCTCAATGTGCCGCCTGCGCCATACGAGATTTGCGGTTAAATCGAATCGATATTTTATGTTATCGTATTTATTATGCAAACACACTCAACTTAATTCCAATTGGTGTTGAGTTGCTAAAAGTGGCACACGCCGTCGTTGTGGCTGCACCAAAACAACACCCAGACCTGAATCTCACGCCGACCCCGCAACCCCTGAACCCTAACAACTCAGGTAAATCCAGAGACCCATCAAACACCCACTCAACCGTGCCTCCGCCCAGCTGTGCCATTCCTGGATTGCCTGCGTCGTGCTTGGTTTTGCATTAAGTCTGATTGTTATTGAGTGCTCTTCGGATAGGTTCGGAGCTCCGACGCCGACGCCAACGCCTGGCTTGCTCTGACTGATGGCTTAGATGCTTACAGACTGGCGTGCATAATGACTGCCGCTTATTATCAAATTAATTTACGCTAAAAACTCATTGCGCTATAATAAACAAAAATAAATGGCCATAATTATTGGGATGTGATCTTAATACCTTTTTACATCTGGCGAAATTTGCGAAAGAGCAGGAAAGTGTATTACTTTATGCCCAATATACATAACAATTCGGTTTTAGATGCTTTTATGGCTTAAATGAATATTTTTTGTTGAGCTTTCATTACTTTTAAAATATCAGCTTATTCGATTAATAATAATAATTAATTATATAACAGTAAATAGATTTATATAAAGTATAAATAATTAAATAAGACTAAACTCCTAGTTTAAGCTCTATTTGTATTTTTCTATAAGTTTAATTTAAGTTATTGTAAATAAGTATAATAACAGTTTTACATTTATATATAAAAGAAAAAAAACAGTTGTTAACTTTTTATTAATTTCTCATTAATATATACTAGTGCTATGAAGTGTTTTTGTTTTTAATCCGAGACTCGACAGATATTTCCATATAAAGACCTACTTTTTTAAAGCCGCCACAGGAACATATATTGGAATAATTTCGATCAGTCTAAGTTATATATTTGCACATTACTTGAGCGTTATAAAAGGCTTTCATTTTAAAATAATTCATTAAACAAAAACTTAGTTAAAGGAGTAACTAAAATTTGGTGTAGAGATAAATAGCTACGATCAAGCCATATAAGCCCAACACTTCCGCAAATATAAGAATCAGGATCATGCCAACGAAAAGGCGCGGCTGCTCGGCTGCTCCACGCACGCCGGAGTCCCCTATAATACCAATCGCTATTCCCGAGCACAGTCCGGCCAGTCCAACGGCTAGTCCAGCTCCAAACTGTACGTACCCCTTCTGAATGGTGTAGTCCTTATCTATGGATCCGGCGATAAGCACAGCCACAACCAAACCATAGATAGCTATAATGCCCGCCATCACCACAGGTATCATGGACTTCATAATCATTTCCGGCTTGCCAATCGCCATTGATGAAATGCCAATGCCCGAAGCAGCTGTCCCGTAGGCAGCACCCAATGCGGAGAACACAATGGCCGTTGTAGCACCCATGCCGCCAAAGAAAATGGCGTAACTTGGCTTATCATTGGAAGCCTCGGCAGTGAACATATTTTCCTAATTAGCTATTTAAGACATCCGCATATTGTAAAAGCGTTTTCTTATTTAAGTTGCAGGAATACATACAGTTAGATTTCAATTCCCACCGATTCGGTTAAGTTCTTTGAAGTTCAGGCACTCAATAATTCTGGCATCGAAACGGATTGGAGAAGCAAATATCATGTGATTACTGGGAGAGCCAACTCTATACATACAGCTCATATTTTTCTATGAAAATATGTTATGTATATGAATTAATATACATATACGACAAATACATGCTGGAAAGTGTCAGACATATTTTAATTCAAGAATTAAGTAATTATGAAAAAGACAATTTCAAAAAACGTTTTTCATTCTTTATCTTGTGTGTTTATTCTGCCAAGATTAAAGAATTTAAATTCTTTTGTCGCCAAATTGTAGTAATTTTATTTTTCCATCTTTAGTTTCACATTTGAATGCAACATTTATTTGACAAATTTTTTTAAACAAATGTTTTTAATGGCGAAATCGAAGAAAATTATTTTGAAAATAGTTATAAGAAATGTTTTTAAAAAAAATTAAAAACAACTCAAAGTTGAATTCCGATTAAAAAGATTTAACTGTCGGCACTAATGAAAATGATTGATCATCAAATCGGAGCAATACCCTAAAAAAATTGCAGAAAAAATATAAATTAAAATTAATAATACTTTTATAAATAAAAGGTACAAACAATTCATTCAACATTGGCAACTATAGTAATGTAATGGCAGAGAATATATTGGCTTAATGCGGGAATTAGCAAAAAAAAAAAAAAAAAAAAAATGAATTCATAAAATACGAACTCGCATACTACAAGTATACTATACTTTACACACTCGTATATATTAGAGTGTGTGTGTCTATGTAGGTAGTAGCTTTGAAAGATTTTGTTCTTCACCCGCAGCAAAGTTTATCTTTATGCGCCATTAAATTTTGTGGTGCTCCCCATCCCAAACATTGCCCCTACCCTTGGCAATGTCATTGCCACTCTCCCAACACCCGATGCTGCGATGGCAAAAAATTTCAAATTTATGGCATATCCCTTCCATGCGGTGGGTCTCGTACAATATTTTGTTAAAGGAGAATGGAGGATAAACCGCAAAACCTATTCCGAATATTGAAAATCGAAGCTGCGGTCTCTTTTCCTTTTTTCTCGCACTTCTTTCAATTAAACAAATTGAAAAATATGAACCCTGTAAAGGCGAACTCTCCGTGTGAGCTAGAAATGCGCAACGCTAACTTCCGACATTTTGTTTCCCCAAGTTACAGAGGAAAATGTAAATTCTCTGCCGCTCCGTGGGATGAGTATTGGTATGGGGCTGGGCCTTGGGCTGGGGGCTCATGTGGCCCAGTGTTGGCGACAGCTATGTGGTGACACGATTACGCCCGTCGCCCCTCGCCCCTCGCCCGCCCTGATTCAGTCTGAATGCCATGGCTTGATGTCGCAGCTACATGACGTTTTTATTTGTGCGGCAGGAATTGTTTTGCATTTTGAATATTTTGCGAGCACGGCGCTTTGGGATCTTTGGGACCGGGGCTAAGAATTTTATTACTTGCGTTCGCTTCTGGTCTTCCGTGTGGCATGGTGTGGCTTTCGTTCATATGACGTGATTGTAAAGTTGGCATAAGGTGTCACAGATTTGTCGTTGTGAAAACATTCCTCGAGGGAGTCTCTGCATAAATTGAAGAGGCTCCTAAATGCAGGACAGAACTGCGAAAGAACTGTTTGTGTGAAATGCGATGTGGTGAATTTCGTAGTACGTAATAGCAATAGATTCATTCAGTTCCGCTTTTTCCACAACGCACACAATTTTCAATGGAAATATGAAATAAACAACACATCCGATCGACCGGTGAGAACAAATTGTTTTGTGTTTGCCGCTTATTTTTATAGTCATAGTAGGCGAGACTTTAAACTCTCCACGTTTAGTCAATGCTTGCTCATATCTAAAATTAGTCTGGTTTTGGAATGGTCTGTAGATCGAAACTGGAAAATAATAAAATATTTGCAAATATAGTAAAAAGTGGTACGCAATTTTCTGATTACTTCCCTTTTGGGATTCAATGACTGTTGTCCACTTGTTTTCTAGACCAACAAACAAAATGGGAGACGCAGTCGATGATGATGAGAAGCCTCCATACGCTTTCTTCTTTGGAGGTATGGGCGCTTCCAGCGCCATTATCTTCTCGGCTATGGGCGCAGCGTACGGCACAGCCAAATCGGGAACTGGCATCGCTGCAATGGCAGTGATGCGTCCCGAGCTTATTATGAAGTCCATTATACCCGTAGTAATGGCTGGAATTATTGCCATTTACGGTCTGGTCGTTTCGGTGCTAATCGCTGGATCCTTGTCGTCCAGCTACACCATTCGTCGTGGGTATACCCACTTGGCCGCAGGACTTTCGGTGGGATTTGCCGGCTTGGCTGCCGGCTTTGCCATCGGCATTGTTGGAGACGCAGGCGTACGTGGCACGGCTCAACAGCCACGCCTTTTTGTTGGCATGATATTGATCTTGATTTTTGCTGAGGTTCTGGGACTCTATGGCCTAATTGTGGCTATATACCTTTACACCAAGTAAAGAGTCTTTAATGTCCTGTAACGCAAAATGCCATTTCAATAAACTGCCTGATTCTAATTAGTAATCGGCCAAATTATCTTGATACTTAGAATGGTTCCTTCAATCTATTAAGTTATTATTTGTTGTTTAAATAAAGGGTAGAAATAAAGTGAAAGTGGCCGACTGTTATTGTACAAAAGGTTTCGACAACCCGGATAGTTCGTCGAGTAGGGCATATTTATCCGATGTTGAGATTTCTACAAGTGAGGAACTTTGGATTCAAATTTTCCACTGTTTTTGGGCTTTATGTTTATGAATGAATAAAGCAAAAAGTCAGTGGGCATCCGAGTATATACATATGTATCCTTATACATGGATTGGATTATCATTAAGGTCCAGACTCCTTATGAGATGAAAATACATTTAGAATTAGTAGGCACTGATTTAGCAATCATAAATTACTGACAATGACTCGAGCTTCCTAATTTAGTTCATATATTTCGATTGAACGAATGTGAGAGGATCTAGAAAATAATTCAATATGGAAGAGAATTTAGTTCGAGGCAATGTGGACCCTGAAGCCAGCATGGATCAACCGCAATATGCGTGCTTTTATGCTGTTGTTGGAGCTGTTAGTGCCATCGTCTTCTCGACATTGGGAGCTGCCTACGGGACGGCGAAGTCAAGCGTGGGAATATCTGCCATGGCTGTGAAACATCCAGAATTGATTATGAAATCCATTATACCCGTTGTTATGGCTGGAATTATTGCCATATATGGTCTGGTTGTATCGGTTCTACTGACCGGCTCTTTGGCTAAGCTCTACAACAGCTACAAGGCCTTTCTAAATCTTGGTGCTGGCCTAGCTGTCGGTCTTTCGGGCATGGCTGCCGGATTTGCAATTGGTGTCGTGGGCGATGCTGGGATCAGAGCTACGGCCCGACAGCCCAAACTCTTCGTTGGATTAATACTGATTCTTATTTTTGCTGAAGTGTTGGGATTATATGGCTTGATTGTAGCTATCTATCTGTTTACCAAGTAAAATTTTTATATCCGGTAAAAATTCTAATCAATGTAATACCGAAAGTGCTAAAATACATTTAAAGCATTAAACATTATTTTAGGACAGAACTCTTAATAGTTTCAATTGCAGTAACATTATATTCAACGCATTTGGGAACTTCGATAAATTCGAGTGCAAATTATTTGTCTGTGGGACCATACCTTTAGATTTAGTTTCAGTGTTTTGTTTTGAAATAAATGTTTTATTCTCCGATATCTTTTAGACGCAAATTAAACTGGAAGCTTTTCCCCATCCTCTCCCTTTTGCTTGTCATATTATTTTAAGCTGAAACATAACATTAACTTTTGTTTACTATTAAAAGTATGTAGCTGATGACGTAAGCGACTTACATACATACTATGTATGTACCTAAAAATGCCTAAGCAGTGCGTCTCTGTTCAGAAACGGCAAACAATTGAACCTACAATGACAAGAAATATATTGAACCGCTCCAGTGCTCGCCCTCCAGTGCAAAGATTTCCCATTTAAGATTTATGATGCGCTGGGATTTAGTGACACTAACTTGTTTCTTTTGCCCATGCCACAGTTATTGTTGTTCCTGCTGGCGATGCTGCTGTTGTTGTTTCTGCCTCTGCTGCGTTTTAAGTCATTGTTTGGCTCCGGCTTTGGCTCCTTTTGTGCCGTTTGTGCAACTATAAATCGTTTATGTATTTTGTTGAGTGCGAGGATTTATCTCCGAAGCTGAATATGAGAAAGGAATCACATAAATACAAATAAATCAAAAGCATTTCAAATGGCATTGGCAATACTCGCACAAACAATTTTTTTTGTTATTTTTGTTGCCTTTTCCTCGACCGGCAACCGACGACAAAAATAGAGAAATACGCACAATGCTGTTCCAGAATACCCCGAGTAGTTGCCACAGCCATGCAAACTGTGCAAAAATTGATGTCTTCGCTCATAAAAATAGGGCATCTAAGGAATAGAGCATCAGCTAACGCTGCTTTCTAGCTGTTCCACTCGCTCGATGTGTTTTTGTTGAAAGCAACATTGTACATTTTACGACTTTTTTATGCGTTGAAATCTATAAATTATGTAAACTGACACTGACAGCTGTCAAGCGAAGGTTCAGCCGCAGTCGCGCAGGGCGACGAGGCCTCCATGGAAGTGACACATGTGTCAAATGGGTGAGAGAGGCTCGAACAATATAAAGTACAAATAAAAAAAAATAAAAATTACCACGGCCTGGGAGCTGCGACGACATTCCTAACGACAACTGATGGCTCGAGATGATTAAATGATTGCGAGCGGCAATAAAAAAATTGATGTTTCGAATTATTGCTAATATATATTTGGCGCTACTTCCTCCAACGACCCTCCAACAACAAAGTACACCCTCAGCAGTTTATTATGTTTGTATTTTTTATTGGATTTTACAGCGAAAGTTTTGTACAGAGTTCAAGTTAATTGAGCAACAAAGCTCGATCATACATTTTCAATGGAAATAAAAGAGCTCCGAGCACATTTCAGATCGCGAACTACTTGTATATTACCGCAGACCTCTTTAAAATTAGATGTTCATAAACAGGTGTTCTTTCGTAGAATGTTTTAAATTAAAAATGAAAAGTTAATAATCCAATTCTAAAGCTGTAACTGGGTAGCATGTCTGAATGCATTTCATTATGTATTTGTATTATAATAAAATTCTATGGTCTCCATAGAGCTTATACATATGTATTTTGGTCTAGCCTTCAAAAATTCGTAACACATTCAAATTATTGGCACCAATGTATCGCATTTGTTTTTCCAAGCATATGTACTCATTTCTCTAGTACACCATGACGTACTTGAGCATGAGTAGCGACTATAAAACCTCAATTGCTAGTGTCGGTGTCGTGACAAACTAGCATAGTGGAAATGCGTTTCATTGAACCGAACTGGCTTTTGTTGTCTTTTCGCTAAATAAAGTAAAAAGTATTTTCCCCCCCTTTTTTCCAGCAAATAACAGTGTCAAATAATATCAGTGTGCTGTTTGTGAGTTCGCCGGTATGGCAGCTATAGCGCATATTACACAACGAAATAAATTAACCAAAAGTAAATTTAGTGGAAATCCCGGATAAAAAGGGTTTCGAGACAGCGTGTCAACGCGCTTTTATTCAGTCCGTTGTTGCCTCCTGCTACGAAGTATCCTGAAGTCCCAAATGTGTTCTCAACATGCAAGTTTTATTACCTACTGCTGTTTCTGGTGCCGAGTCCCAGCTTTTCAGCTTCAGCGTTTTCTGCGTGGTAAATAATGGAAATTTAAAGCTAAAGTGCAACAGAGCGGACGACACCATCTCCAATCTAGCTTTGAACACGCCGTTAAAGTTCAAGCAATTGAACTTTGATAATTAAAAACTAAACTAAACTGAAGAAAAAATAAAAAAAACATATTTGCAGAAGTTTAGAAGTGATTTATCAAATATTGATTAGCAGGTGTTTAGTCTTTCGGTAAACGCTGAAATCGAACGGAAGAATAGATTTGTTAAGTTCCTACGCGCACAGTTATCAGAGATTTTAGTTTACCTTTCATGACCAGTAAATTATTCAAATGCTTGTGATGGTGCACATTGTCTCCGCTGCGTACTATGGAACCTGCTGCCTGATCAATCAGACTGTTGATTTGTTGCAGAGCCACTGTTTTGTTGGGACATTCGAAGGTCAGGCGGTAAGTGCCAGTCGGTGAGCATGATACCTGCCATTTAGCTGGCATATGATTTTTGTTTAGCGGCTTCCGTTTTTCCTGCTTGTTATTTACAGATAGACAGTGCCTTTTTGGGGTGCTGCAGTCAACTGCTGTTTTATCGTTTTGCGAAGGTGCTTCTACTCTTTTTCCCAATGACAATATCCTCTGCGTAAAACCTGTGAGGTTTCGTTCATCCTGGTTGCGATCGCGTCGAGGGCAAGCGCAGATCTTAACGTCTAGAACTTGCTGACCAAGAATTTTGCCACTATGAAGGAACTGACGTTGTAAAGTATTGAGTCTACAAATCAAATCAACAACACACCTAATGTTCTCTAGACAGAAGACCAAAGAGGTCTCCTTTCGACCCAAGCACGAATTCTGACAAGTGAACTCAAATGCGAGAGTCTGTCGCACACCATCTGATTGGTTCATAGCGTACATATCCAGGGAGAGGGGCACTAGCACAGAATAGCGGTCTCCGATACCCCTACCCTGACTTGTGCCGCAGTATTGAGTGGCTGGATTGTTGCAACGCAGCAAGCTCTCCCTCAGCTTCGGATGTGCTACAAATCATAAGTATTTGAATCATTTACGAGCTTCTAAAGGGGACATTCACTTGTTGGCTCACCAGTATCAGCGCTTAGATGGTTGGCACAACGAAGCACCACGCTGCTAACTTCTGTCTTAAAGCACAGGAATGCTCGTAGATTTAGTTGCTCTAGCGGCAGCTGCAGCTTAAATTCCATATCGATGTTGAAAGTCTGCATAAATGATGTAATACTAGTTTATTAAACTGATTCCTAAATTATGTAACAGTTTGACCTCACACCTTGTTCATGGAAATGTAGAGTTTGTTTAAGAGCATTGAATATGTCCACTGAGACTTTTTCGGCTCCTCTAACACGTACTTAAAATCGTAGCCGCCATTGTTGTGATTCTCAAGAGTGGGCAATAGCATTTTCTGGCCTTTTATGTCATGTCTCAGTACAGATTGCTTAAAAACATAAACAATATTGTTAGGTGTTAGGTATTTAGCTTTTAGGACGTTATGCTTACCTCGTTGAAATGCAAAAAGTTGCCGGACTTCTAGGAATAAATACAATAACTTCATTAAGCTATTATGGTAACATTATTTACTTACATTAAAGCCTTGCAATAATTCCATTGCTTCCATGGCACTACATGTAATAAAATAAAAATGTACACCCAGCCTGCCATTTCAATTTAAATGCTAACTTACAAATCATCGCCAACAACTGTCGAACCATTGGAAACATCGTTTATGACTGTCTGGTGTGGATTTTCTTCGGCTGTAGCTTGGCCAGCAACGGAACTTTTTTCATGAAAAGACAGGTAAGAAAATACAAATATAGCTGGCAATAGAACTGAGCCACAGAATAACGATCAGTTTGGCATTCACAGCTTTAAAGGCAGAGACTTACCGTTGAAGAGTGAAAGGTTGTCCACAGACACTATTGTTGGCGGTATTACCAATATATTGACGTTGACAGTTCGTATTGTTGTTGTTAGAAGACATGAAAAACTCGTTGTTATAAGCGCCCATATCGTTGCCAATCGCAGCCCCCATGTTGGGTCCAATTAGCGTGGTTTTGCTCTTAATATCTTGCATATAATCGCTTGTATAATCGTTCCTGCTGCCTCCCCCGGCGATCAAGAAACTAGGCAAGTTGTTGCCGTGAAGAGTGTGGATGCCGGCGGCAGTGTCCAAAGCATTGAAGGTGGTGTTGCACGTCGGCGTAAGCACACATGCTTCATTATTTTCATTCATAATCAGAAGGCGATCGTTTGTATTAATCGTATTTACAACTACAGGCGCCTGCAGGATTGTACCCTCTGTGACCGGATTTGGGGTATGTGGTAGCGGTTCATTGGTCCAGTTCAGATTTTGTTCGCCCAAAAAAAACGTTTTGCTGTTGGTGCGAGTTACGCTGCAGACGTTGTTTCTGTATTGGGATCAATTTAAAAAGCAGTCATTTCAAATAGATGTACATACATATGTACAAGTGTGTATGTATGTATATAACAGGAGGACCTACTGCGTAAACGTCATGCTGATGGATGAAGAGCGTGTGGCTTGTAGCGACATTATGCTGGGCAGAAGTTATATAGGTATGTATGTCGATAATCCAAATTTTCCCAATCGCACGAAAAAAGGAAGACACGTGCACATATGTATGTATGTATTTATGTACCTATGAATGTACATGCATACATGTGCTTTTTTGTGCGCGCTTAAACTCTGTAACAAATTCGCAGGAATAGGTCCAATTGTGTGAGTATGCTGTTCGGTGGTTGAATAGCCCAAGGAGAATTACTATTGGACGGACAACAAAGGAATCCAAATTAGGTGAATACTTACGCTGCAGAAACGCTGTTTTGCAAAACACAAGTCTCGCGCGAAAGGAAGGGCAGCTGAGCAGCTGAGCAGGTGGCACGTGGTAAATCGATTACCGATTACTTATAACAGTAATCGGAAAAGCTACTCCACACTTGGCAATTTATAGAAAATAGTTTGAGGTTAAAGCATGTACACTAAATATATTGAAGTGAGGGTAACCCCATTTATGATATTTATATTTATGTACATTATGGATATTAAATTATATTAGCTTTTATATTAATGACTAGTTCATGCAAAATAGTAATGGTACATTTGTTTGTAAGCAGCTGTCAGAAATTTCTTCAAAAACAACCCGTGTTAACCAAACGTGCAATTAACAAATTATATTATACAACAATTTTAATGTATTTACATATATGTATGTACATATGTACATACATATTAACAATTGGCTCCAGAAACACTAAGCCAATTGATTTTCTCAACGAAAGCTGGATGAGTTAGCTTTTCGCCTGTTGGACTAAATTATTGCATTAGACGTCAGTTCTACATTTTAATTACTACGTGGTTACTTTTCCACTGTTTTCTTCATCAGTAGCCACCGAGCCGAGCCCACACTGTTGTGTTTTGTACAAATGTAGCCCTGGGAATGTCTCTTCGCATTGCTTTTATCAACGGATCATGTGCGGAAATCGTTTTATATAGCGTGGTTTGTTTTTTGTTACATATGTATGTTTGTATGTATATTTTAAATATGAACGTCAATTAGATATGTATGTACTAAGGAATACGAGTTGGTTTTAATAGGGAAAGAAATTTAATCCCACTACGAAATGCTTGATCGGAAAGGGATTGTAGTATTAATACGAAAGCATAAGCTTAATACATACTCGTACGTACAAATACATTTGTATGTATTTGACCGCTTCCTGCTTTGAAAGCTAATATTGGTTGGTTTTGTACATACATCTAAATATTATAATTGTAGTGTTTTAAAAATGGTAAACACCTTTCTTTTCTTAATCAAAGCATACTATCGTTGAATTAAATAGAGGCTTCTAGGGTGTAACGGGTCTGATTTCGTGATGACACTACCTTTGGTGACATTAGTTTCGTGCCGGCAAAAGTCGCATCGATTCGTCTGGTGGTGCTTGCGTGTCTTCGGCCAATTAAAATATCTCCGAAATTTTGAAATTGTTACAAAAGACGGAACCGGCCAGAGTGATAGTCGACATGCATCGAACACTTTGGCGGCCAAAACGTACCGATTTGTTATGTCAGAGGCGTCTGAAATAAAACCGCGCTTGTTGCTTCCGTTTTCGCCACATTGCAGCCGTCCTGAGCTGTGGAGCTTTGATATGTCCTTTATTATGTAGTTTTGTGTCATCGTAAAAATCGTCGGCTATTACTTGATTGTCCTTCATGAAGGCCATAAAGCTGTAGGCAGCTAGGAAGCGGCCTAGTCCCATTGTAAAATGATTTACTCGATGGGGCTCTCCCCCTTTCTCACCCAACAATTTGGACAGGCGCTCGAACCATTTGTGGCGACCAAGCAATGGCTTGTTGGCGTTTCTATTTTGGCTGCTTGTGCCGGCTCTGGCTCTGGACGACTACTCATTTTTTATGACTCGTTTTTTACGGTCTTTTACAGTTTAACGACGCATTACTGACACACAAACCAAACGACTGCCATCTTCATACATATACATACATAGACAGACATACTTACATATCTACTCGTATATGACCCTCGCCGAAATCTATTCATGATTCCGTATACTAAAATCCTATTTTCATTTTATCGTATTTATTTTTTGTCTATTAGGCCACACAGTTGCTGTTGTTGGCATTGTTGTTGGTGTTTTGTCCGCTCGCTTTCAACAATTTTGTTTTGGCTTTTGCTTTTAATTTTTGGAAGTAGCAATTTCTCGAATCTTTATGATATGCGATTTCATCATTGGGCGAGGCGGTTGTTCTCTCTTTGTTTTTTTAGTAGCGTACATCAAGTAATTTATTTATTTGGTCCCGGTATTAAAACAATATTTGGCTTATGAGCGTCTTAAAACTGCATTAGGTTAATGAAATCACATATAGACTTGTGTACTTTTGTATATGGGCTATTGGGTGCGAAAAGGTTATTGCCCGAGTAGCACACAGAGTTCGTTTTTTATTTTTCAATTCCATTTGTGCCTAAAAGCTAGGGATTTCCTCAACATATATTCATGCGAGTGTAATTCACAAGTCGTACGGGCTGGTGATGTGAAATCTAAAAGTGTTCATCAATCCGTAAGAATAGGGCAGTCAGCATTAGTGACTCTGATAGCACATTAGAACGAGGCCACATACACATGTTTAAGTACAGAAAGATATATGTATACATATATAAAATTACTTCGTGGCCATAATAAAAATTTGTTTCTTTGTATTATGCATTAGCCGCCCACAAAGTCTCATTTTTTTTACCATAAATTTTATAAAATCGTTGGAGATGAAATTGATCTACATACAGTGTGATGCACTGGAAAAACAAGGGAAAATGGACTCATAAAGCTATATACTTGTACTTGTATATATGTACTAAGATTTAATATGATTTCTTCATTTCAAATACTACCGATTCTTCCATCTGAAGTAAGAGGAACTTATAATAATAAGTTCTACAATTTATTTGGCATAAGAAATCATTGCTTCCAATGATAAGTTAGTGATAAGTCATATAAGGGTAGAGGACGCTCATTCAAGTAAGAGTGACGAGGATTGGAGAGTTCATAGCTTAACTTATTCATAGAAGGTCAGGCTATGTATAAAGTGTATGCAGTATGGGACTTTTGCTGAGTTATAGACACAAAAGTGGACGTAGTTGGGAGAGCACAGGTGTCTGTGCATATCCTTATCGTGTGCTTGTCGCTCTAATTGGAACAGCGATGCGTGAAGTTGTTGACATTGATTAGGGTGGCGTTTAGGTCGGTGCTGCATCTTGCCTGATATTCTTGATATACGAATCCATTGTGACTGTGGAAAAGAGAGCGAAAGATGGAAAATAGATAGGATGGCCGTGGGTCACCCCCCAAAACTGCATGTGAGTTATCGTTGCACATTTGTCGGCGATAAATAGCCAGAATGAAAGGAAAGCAATTTTACAGGACAACCCCAAACTCGGCTGACTACGGGTTTCGTTCGTTGATGTTTCGCTGTCGTTGGTTTTGCATTTTATGCCTTGTCATTCCGCTGTCGGCTTTAGTTGCCAGTCTGCACGGCTGACTGACCGCAGACTATTAGATAAATTAGCGGTAATTTTTTCACATGTTTGCCTTTCCCCTCATGCCCAACGCCTACACAACAACCTTTTTATATTTCAAATTTTGGTTTCATGATGTTGCTTAATCAAATTTTTTTTTTACCATTTGAGCCATAAGTTATGTGTCATGGCTTAGACATTTAAGCCAGACCTTTGCCTACGGCAAAAAGTGGTCAACAACAAGGGCCTCACAGCCAACGGTCGACGTCAAGTAAAAACCTCTTATCATTGTTAGACTGGTGGCTGAAGTGGAACAAATTAATTTCCTTCTTCTTATTTCTTGTCTTCGTTGTCTGTTCTCTCATTGAAGCTGTTATATTTTGAGGGCTATTAACTCGCATGCTGGCGAGGTCGAGTTCGGGCTCGAGTTCGAGCTCGAGCTCGACGTCTTCGTCCCCTTTGTTTTCACCTTTGACGCCCTTGCCAGATATGTTGGAATCATAGTTTAATTATTTAAATGAATTTGGGTTTATTGTTTTGTGTGAAGAGCGCTAGTGCTTGAGTCGAGTGTAAATCATGCACATCATTGCGTTGAATCGACGTTCTCTCAGCCGTAGAACAAGCCAAAGCATAAACTGGTTAGCTTCTTATGACCAACAGTTATGGAAAAATATCACGTCAGCAGTTAAGTATTGCAGAACATTCAAAAGGACTTGGTTTATGGTTAAGCTATGTTTATTTCCAATATGAAATCTGCATTGAGCACTTTATACATTTGACAGTAAACAAAAAAGTGACCAAAAGGTTCAGATCTGCCGGATCTGCTGGATCTATTTCTATATACGTATAATAATTTACATCTAGATTGCGCTGGTTGTGGGGATAGACCCGACATGAATTCAGCCTGTAATTCATGCATTTACAAGCCTTTCCCTGCGTTGCGTTCAGGGGTCAAATGACACGTATGTATGTATGTATTAGCTAATAATACGGATTTGCCGATAACAAGGGATTACACAATATTTTCACGCAGCCCTTCCGGGTGTGCGGTGCATTTAACTTTTCACCGCTCTGCCGTTCGCGTGCTCTTACTTAAACCGGCTTGGAAATTCACACCCAGTGCACAGTGCCCTAACCTTTTGGAACAACGCAAGCGCACGCAATGTCTTCGGCAAGAAAAAGGCACGGCATGGCTACACAGACGCAAGGAGTCTAAAGTGTCCAATCAAGTTTTTGAAATGAAACCTAAATAACATGTCATAATAAATAACCTTCAAGCGACCCAGCGGCAAGCGCACTGGACACAAGCAAGAGTACGGAAAAGCACATCCAACAACCAACCTAGCCCTAGGCCCCAAACTTCA